AACCTACGCTCCCCCTCTTGGCCCTGTGCAACCCATGTTTCACAGAGTGGGCGGGGGAGCGAGGGCAGGGGGTGGGGACTGCCTCATTGTTGACCACAGCTGTTGTTGTTGTTGCTTTACGGTGAAAGTGTAAAGTCATGATGCGCGCCGTTCAATTTGCCATCCGTATATCGTTTACCTTGTGGCTGCAGCGACACATTCACATTCACATTCACAATGGCCCCTCCTTGCCATCAACCCAAACCCCCCTATAACTTCCGCCCCTTGGCTGGATAAGCCCATAAATCAGCTGCAGCTAAAGCACTGAGAAGTATTGTCGCAATGGGCTGTAAACATGTTTGTTTAACCGAATACCTCAGTGCTACGGAGGGTTTTAGTGCTGTGCTGTTAAACTTAAGCATATGTCAAGATATTTGTATACTCCCAGCCGGATGGGCCATGTGATGGGGCTGTCTCAGAGCATAACACTAGATTAGAATGTCAAATGTGTGCATGGAATATGCATAGATGAAGAAGATACGAGTAATTGATATAAAATCATTTATACAAGATGCGATGAGTGCAACAGAAAATGTAAAAGTAATGCTGTAAAATGCATGCTGTTGAAGGGACGCTGTTACAGTGATGCTGTTAAAGTAATGTTAATATTATGTAGTAAAGGTAACGCTGTTAATTATATTTGGAAGTTGATAATTGATGACTACAAAAGAATGCTGTGAAAGGGACGCTGTAAAATGCTGTTAACAGTGTGCTGTTAACAGTATGCTGTTAATAGTATGCTGTTAACAGTATGCTGTAACTGTAGAATGCTGCTAAATTGACGACGTTAACAGTATTTTGTTAAAGAAATGCTGTTAAGATAGCGCTGTTAATAATTAACTGTTTAAATTATGCTGTTAACAATATGCTGTTAAAGTGATGCTGTTAAAGTGACACTTTTATTTTCATTTCAAAAACAAATCCCTCGCTTATTATAATATTAATAGCTAGGCATATGCTCTTGCATTGAGCTCGCCCTGCCAGCAGTATGTTTGCTCAAGATTTAGCCACACTTATCAGATGGCTTTTCCCCCCTTTTAAGTCTGCGCAAGTGTTGCCCTGGCACGATGTCGATAACATTTCAACTCGCCACGCATTCACGCATAATTACAGGCAGCCTAAAGAAAGACACAGGCGGCACTGCAGCTAAGCTGTGCGTGTGCGCACATCTTGGGGGCGCAATTAGGAATAGTCTCTATGGGCAGCCCCTTGATAGAGTCTCTCTGCAGACGAACTCTGTCAAGTCACTTCCTGTAATAGAAACCAAATTGAACGTGCGGCATGCAACTAAACGTGTACACAAATCTATTTGCCGTATCAGGCACAGCCCTTGGATCGCAACAACAACAGCAACAGCAACAGCTTCCGCCGCAACAGATGCAAATCTCGGGGCGCCAATGGAAACCGCATTGGGACGTTGACTTCGCAGAGCAGACAGCAGCCGCAGCAGCAGCAGCAGATCAAACGTAAATAGGGCGGAAAATTATGCGTAGATAGTTGAAACAAAAACGTATTCACAATAGCAATAAATACAAGCAAGAGCGCACGACTAGCAGCTACCCTGTACTCAGCAACGAAATGATGCAGAGCGCGGTGAGCTGAGAAATGGGTATACAAAAATTTGATTGATGTCTTAACTGCATGAGAAACAAATGCTTAAAGGCCTAGATTCAAATTAGACATTTATCGATATTAAGAAAATAGCGAAAAGTTATCGATAAATTGAAATGAAATTGTTATCGAATGTGATTAAGTATATCTAGACTCGGTAATTGATACCTTACGGACTAGATTTTGCTTCCAGCTGCCTGTTAATAGATACGCTTTTGGCTAGACTTTGCTTCCATTCGCTTGTTACATACCCAACTGCAATATACCCGTTTTTGGATAGGGTATCTGTAGGGTATAATAACAGGCAACTTGACATTTGTGCTTTCGCATTGAACTCGACGACTCGTTGCCCCTCCAACCCCTTTTTCCATTGTGTTGTTTGTCGGCTCGGCCGGCTTTGGCTTAAACGGTTTCCCGCTTGCAAAATTGTCGTTTTCCTGTTTGGAGTTGTTTTTTTTTTTTTTTTTTTTTTTTTTTTGTTAATGCACGATTTGGTAATTTGCTGGCTACTGGCCAAGAATCTGGGCCTGAAACTTGCAGTAGATCACATCACGTTTGCTCGCTCTCTCTCTCCCTATCTTCCTCTCTCTCTCGCTCTCTTCCTCTCTTCAGACTGGTCTACCTTGCAATTATCCAACCTTTGTTGTTGTTCCTGCTGCTCATCTTTGTTTGCCTTTGCTTGGCCCTTTGACAGCTCTGCCCTTTGGCCTCAATCTGGAGCCCCTTTAACCAATTTTTGTATGGCTTGCGGTTGAGTGTTTTCTATCTCATTTCGAAAGGGGCTGCCGCTAGAAACTCGGCTTAAGATGGAGCACAATTTGCATGTCTGCAAAGCGGAAATTGATTTATAAGCGCACTGTTATAATTACTCTGATTGTAAAGTGAAGACTAAGTAATTATGAAATTGAATTAAACCAACATATTTTATTGTCAAATCGAGACACTGAAGGCCATATCAGACCTATTTAATGGTCAATCTTGAGGCTGTGTTGCCGCCTGATTATGACACTGACAGCAACTGTCCGCGCGGTTCTGGCGGCAATTACAAACAACAAAAGATGCAGATACATGCGGCAGCTACAGATACGCACTCACAAAAGATACAAGCGCATAGAAAAAAAAATAGATATATCTATATATGTATATGAGACACAATGCACAAATGATAAATGCAAACAACAAAAGCGCGACAACAACAACGTAAATAAAAAGAGGAAGAAAAGTGGAAGAGTGCCAACAACAAAAGCTGGTGTGATTGCCTGGAGAACGTGACGCTCTCTCTCTCTCTCTCTCTGTGTGTGTGTGTGTGAGTGTGTGTGCTTGGAAAAGCGCAGTGAAAAGCATTGAGAACAAGTTGAAGAAAACGCGCAGCTGCGCTGCCACAGCCAGCGCGTCGCTTGGGCAGTGTAAATGACCTCTCAAGATAAAGTTGTTGCCAACACAAACACTCGCAATGGCGGCAAAGTTGTTCTTGTTGTTGTTGTTGTTCCTCTTCCAGTTGTTGTTGTTGCTGCTGTGCGCTGCTGCTGTTGCCCGCCGACTTGCAATTTCCGCAAGTGCGGAAATAAGTTTTTGCACAACTAATACAAATACTAAACAAATATTGAATCATTAGACAAACAAGATAATATATTGTTATCTGTGCAAAAACAATGTGGCTGCCCAATTGACAACTATTCTTAAAGCCATAAAGATTGGAATTGGTTGAATAGTCATGTTATTAGCTGGAAAATTGTCAAAGATATTATAAGCTTAATCACTGCAATTACGCTTCCTAACCTGCTAGCTTTGCTAAATGTTTTCTTAAAAGCAATCCATAGTAATTAATGTATAATTTATAATATGAAATGATTACAAATCAAGGATTAGTTTCAGAAAAGTAACACAGGCTGTTCTTAAAAGATCAATCTATAAATATTGAATGATTAGAAATGAAGGAAGAAGCATATTATTAGCCGGAGTAAGAACTCGCAGGCGCAATTAGGGTATGCCACGTTTCTGCTAACTATTTAAATAATTGGTAAACAATTCGTAAATATTGCACCGTGAGCCAAATAAGATTGTAAGGCAAAAAATCGTCATATAAGGGTATTCACTGTATCTGCTAACTTGCCAGCTTCGAAATCTTTTCCCTCTATAACTGAAATGTCTTGTGTTGCGCTCAAGGCTTGGCTTTGGGTTTCGGCTACGTCTTTGGCTTCAGTTTATTTGGTTATCCATGAATTTGAGTAGGCTGCTTTCGAAACGCCAAACTGAAGAACTGTGCTGGCACGTACAGCGTTCGAATGGAAATTGGAAAATGTGGAAACATACAAATGGGTCAACTCGTGTTGCACTAAACCAACGAGTTGCTAATGGCTTTATTTATATGCTCATAGCTCGTCGTAACTCCCCAACTCGTAACTCATAAACTGCAAAAGAAGACGTTGTTGTACCGCTTCCTGTACGCTGACACACACACAGAGACCCACACACACACACACACATACACACTCAGTCGCTGACATATCAATAAACAATTAGCAATTGCATTAACGCAATTAGCCTGCAATGATTAAAGCTCTTCGAAGCACTTGTCGTGCCACGCACATAACATATAAATCACAACTCGCTGATATCATTATTTGGGTCACATTGCAGGGCTTTCATTACCCCCACCCCCCCCCCCCCCCCCCCCCTGCTGCTGTCCCTCTGCGTCTTGCCGCGTCGATTTATAAATAAGTGCCAGCTATTTCTATTGCGCCTACGCATTGCCTAAAAGAAAAACCACAAGCCCCCTAACCGCTCTCTCCCTCCCTACGTATAAGGCGCTAGAAAAAGCTTATTAATAAGCATAATTAAGCATAATAATTTTGTTTTGAAATATGCGCTAGTTTTCATTATATTATTTACGAGCACATTATTACATCGCCCAAGACAAATTTCGAAAATTTATGTTACGTCGTGTTGCATGTGGCACATGCATTTTTATGCCACATATGGCATATATATGTATATATGTATATATGTTATATGTATGTTGAGTCGGAAGTGTGGCGACTGCGCTCGTGCATGATTCATTCACGAGATGCTGATAATAAGGTTGGGTATGAGGGCTTTAATGGACTAAAAGAATAAAAGAGTATATGATTTAATTCTCAGAGACAGGCGTGAACTTTTTAGAAACTAGTTGAAGACCTCTTTGAAAGGGGTTTAAAAATGTGATTAAAAGCAGTTTTAGAATAATATTTAATAGATAAGCCGATATTGTGTGGAGGTTGGCATGGTATAATTCTTATTTGTAATGGAAATTTATTAATTTTCTTCTATATGTGTTCCCTATTAAAACCCAGCTAAACACTTCTTTACAGACGCTGCCAAAAACTCTGGTTGGAAGTGAGCCGAATGTGAACCGAAAAAAAATGTCGATAAAACGTAAAAATAATAAGCTAAGAGAGAAATACATTTTCTTGGTCTTGCCGGCCATCGAGAAGTGAAAAGCAAAGCATTCCGCAAAGTTAAAGGAACCTAAAAAAAAAGAAAAAAAAAGAACGCAGCGCGAACTCAAAAGCTAACGAAAACGAATTCGATCGATTTGCATTGACACAGTTTGAAATAGGAGCCACAAAAAATCCGGAGACGACGACAAAAACGGAAATGGATCTCAGTCTCGAACGCGACAGCTCTGCGCTGGGCAGTCTGTTCCAACAGATCATAAATGACATGAAGGTAAGTGATTGATAATTTATAGAATTTTTTCGATTATTTTACGGAAGTCAAAAACTATTAGCTGGAAAAACAATTAGCGGAAATGTTAGCCGAGTTTACTCACGAAGAGCTGGCTGCTTGCTTTTCCAGCGTCAGTTCCAGTTCTAGTTCCAGTTCCAGTTCCAGTGAAATTAAACGTTTCGTTCTGGTTTTATTTTATAGAAATGCAACTAGACACGTGTCAAAATCACATGCAATTGCGACAGTTGTCGCAGCTGTGTATCGTTGCGCGAGACCTATCGAGTAACAAAAACAAAAAAAGTAAGAGGTTCTAGTCGGGAGCACCCGACTAGGGGATACCCTGAACCCTCCTCTTCCAACATCAAATGCATATATATATATATACTATTCTAGAAGCTATATGTCAAGTTTGGTGACTCTAGCTCCTATAACTTACCAAAATTGCCCAAAAAACAGGATATCGATATTGATTTTTATCGATTACTTGGAAACGGGGCAAGTTATCGATTATCGGAAACAAACTCGATCTGCGCAGGCACTAGAAGCACCTACATCTAAAATTTCAGTCTCTAGCTCTTATAGGTTCTGATATCCTTGCGTTCATACATACGGACAGACGGACATGGCTAGATCGACTCGGCTATTGATGCTGATCAAGAATATATATACTTTATGGGGTTGGAGATGCTTCCTTCTGCCTGTTACATACATTTGGATTTTGCACAAATACAATATACCCGTATACCCATTTTCAATGGGTTCAGGGTATAAAAAGAAAACGTAAATCACCAAAAGGTCCGTTTCGCTTCGCGACGACGCATTGTCTGAGTTTGAGTGTGTCAAGAACTCCCATGCTGGGTTTTCTGCTCTAACAAAGTAAACAAAAACCCCAGCAGAAATAATTAAAGCCAAGGTCAGAGCAATGTTAAGAATGTGTGTGTGTGTGTGTGTGTGTGTGTGTGTGTGTGTGTGTGTGTGTGTGTGTGCAAAAATAAACAAAAGTTTCAGATAAACAATTTGGGTTTGTTACCGATGCGAAAACTGTTGCGATAAAAGATATATAACATGCACGACTCAAGGCTTCGCACATAAATATATTTCAGAAATTGTCTAATTGATTTTTTCTGTGCCAAAAATGTTCCAATTAATCTAAGCGCAAAGGCACATTTCAATTCAATACAAAAAAAAATAGATACGTTCGCTTTTATCATTAATTGATTTTAATACCCTATAAATCAAGCTCTAATGGGCATATGGAAAGAAATATGTTGTGTTCTGTCTGCTCTAAACTTGGGGTTCAGTGAAAATATTGTTGAAGAATATCTAATGAGGGATCATTTAATCAGCAGCATCCCAAGATACCCTTCTATGATTTTAGTACAGGGTATTTCTTCTCAGTTGAGCTGCACTCAGGTCTATAATTGCGATATCTAAGTAGTTAATTGCAGTGTATCAATAATTTATATTTATTTGTTATTTTTTACTTTCTTTACCCATGCAATAATTAATCCCATAATACAGGGTATTTCTCCAGTTGTCTCCAGTTGTAATTGCGTTGCTAAGTCTACGCACATTGTATCTATGTATTTAATTGCAGTGTATCAATAATTTATAGCAATCATGACGCCATACGCGTTCAACTGCCTTCGCACATAAATACATAAATATTGGCCTATTATCCGAGCTTTCAATTAACGCAATACAAGTAAATAATAAATATGTATAATATATGTATATATTCCATTAATTTTTTTGCCAATTAAAAGTTCTTCAAACTATTTCTGGCCCTTCATGTTCAATTTTATGTTAAGTGCTTTGGCGCCAGTTTGGCTTTGGCCCAAATCCAATTTGTGCTCTCATCCAGCTTAAGCTCTGTTGGCAGCCTAATCCTCTCGAGATGCACAGATCATGACTAATTTATGGCTGTGCATAAGTTAATACCTGTGCTTAGTGTATATTTGGTGTTTGCTTTCGTTTCTATTTTTGGGGCTGTAGAAACATTTCCATATGCTGGCCGCAGCTTCCGCCATTTTAGCCCATTTCCGACTTGGCCCGTCGACAGGTGTTGTACATTTTGTACATTTCGACGCCTTGTCAGCTGCTTCGCCTGGCTATATAACAAAAATAGGAAAAAGAAAAGTTAAACTCCGGTGGCAAAAGATAAAAGTGCGCCGCCTCTTGCTATTTATAATGCCGGCCTCTGAGCGTGCCACCTTGGAACAGACCCAGGCATGAGCACAGGTAGAGATACACACACAGATACAGATACAGATGCAGGCCGAGGCGCAGACAGCTGTCAGGAATTGTGGATGCGGGCGGTTGCATTTTGTATTTATGAAATTTTTTGGAAATGTGGCCACGCAATTGTGCAGAAGTTCGTTGTACTAGGTTTTTAGCTGTTTTCCAGCCAGTTGTTGCTGCTTGCTTGGCCCGAGTGCGAATTAGAGCAGAAACATGCCTTGAAGCATGTGCAGCATCTAATGTTGTGTGTGTTTCTGTGTGCTTAGCCACAGCTGCTGCTGCTGCTGCTGCGCTTCGTTACTTGACAATTGTCTGGCAAACTTAATACCCTGTACCCGTAGAACATGAGTAGAAGAGGGTATATGGCAGCTGTGCTACTGTATGTAACAGGCAATTGCACTGTCAACATTTTCTACATTTTAAAGATGACCAAATCTCGCAATGGAGCCTGCTTTGAGGTTGTATTATTTGACTCTTGAAAGGAAAACTTTACAATACGCTTTGGTTAATCAAATCAAAATGATCAACTGTTTATTTGCCAGTGGAATCGCAAAATGTGAAGTGTGAAAATGTAACATTTTAAAGCATAGTCGAATTGGGCTATAATACTTATGTCCGATCTAGCCATGTTCGATTTTATTGACATATTTCTATCGATAAATCCCAAACGATCTCAATTTTAAACCTTAGATTTGTTAGAATGTATTAAAAGTTATCTAAGTTAAAGACATAGACATCTTTTTGTATAGTGTAAAGCAAGCATATATTATTTTTAAAACCTTTCTTTAAAGGTTTTGACATATGCTCACATAGCTTGTAGCTTTAAAATGTTCATTACGATTGAAAAATGCACAGAAAATTGATTGAAGAATACCATTTTTCACTGTGTAGCCACACGCTAGAGCACTCCTACTACTTGTTGTTGTCTAGCCGGTAAAAGATTGAGGCCTTCGGTTTGGGCCAAAATGCCAATGCAAATGTCAGCTGTAGGTGTTTGCGGGGCATCTTTGAACAGACGTGGCTAACTAAACCGTCTAAACTTAACTTTAATTCCAATTTCCTAGTCACTAAAATTAGTATTTTGCTGTTGTTTTAATTGCTTCGCTGCGTTTGCCTTCGCCCGCTTTAGTTTAGCATCTGTGCATATACATACATATGTGTGCATATATATATTTAGCAAAGATCTTAAATGCCAGCAGACCAGAACAAATTTATGCCCCCGAGGCGAGAGCGTCTGGAAGTGCACGAATACGAATACGAATTCGTTAAATATTAAATAAAATATCCACTAACGGCATTCGCAAGTAGCTGCAATTAAGTGCGGCTAATTTCAATTAGATTGCAAAGTCACAGTCCGAGTCCAAAGTTTACCAGCTGCCCAGCTATTTCACATTGTTGTTGTTGAATTGCTTTTTTTTTTTAATTTTAAGCAAGTGGTGCTCTTTAAAAGGTTGTTCACTCTTACGGCGCGTCTCGCACGGCTGACTGCCAAACAACAACTTAGGCTGAGTGGAAATCCGTGAATCTGTCATTCTGTCAGTCGCTCAGTTAGTCAAATTGTCGCATTTGGATGACACTCGCTGAATGTGTAACACAAAAGAGCTCTAAATGCGCAATTTCAGCCGCAAGGCGTCTATAATAACTATACCCTGTGGCAAAAGAAATCGCTGCAGAGGGCATAAAAAGCCCTTGGCTGAAGGCATATTTAGAAACTTATTAGGTAAATTATCGGTATGTCTTCGATTCAGTTAAAAGTACCTATTTCAAGAACTGGCATACTTCAAGGAAACATAAAGCCTTTATCTAATTGAGTTTGATACAATATTACAATGATAATTGATTTCCAACTTTTACTTCTATATTTCCATAGAAATTATAATGTGTTATTCAGTTTCAGTTGCAAATAGGCGCTGAGATTGTCTACGCTCGCGTCTATGCATTAGCTTGAAGTGCTGTCATATTTGAACCGGCGACCTCTCGTTTGCTAGTTCGACGTTCAAACACCTAGCCAAATGGCGCCTGGCGTTGCGTTTGCAAAGTTAATTTCAGAATGTGACTGCCATGTTGATGCTATTCATCCAAAGGAAACTATCATATACCATCTACTTGTGGATTGAATTCTCCACAAGCCTTTCCCAAGGCTCCGGAAAGGTTCAGTAAAGATTTCAATCTCGAGGCTCTCATGCATTGGGACAGAGTTCAGTATGTCAGTCAGGAAAATAGCTATATATATAGGTAGATCCATTCACTGGGCATCTGCTAGTTCATCATTTTAGTTTTGCTAGCCGCAAAAGTGAAATTCGCTTAAAGCGACGCTTTCTTTGCCCGTTGGCACTTTTCTGGCTTCCTTTTCTTGCCGACCCTCTCTCAGCTCTTTTTGGCATAACAATTGCTGTCGAGTGCGTCTTAAGGTTTTTATTGTTACACACACACACACACACATGCACATTAGGCCCATTAATGTCGAGAAAATATATGTTTTTTGCTTTAATAAAAACCAAATGATGAAAAGCTCTAGCATTTCCCAGCAACACTTTTGCCTAGGCAATTTTGATGGGCGCGGTTTTGTCTCGCTGTAATTTCGGTCGGCGTTTGCACTTGACAACCAGATAGTAGAGAATCACATAGGTCATTCCATAGATAGTCATAAAGCTGGCGCCCAGAAACAAGCCAATGGCGCCGCCAAAGGACATGATCAGCTGATCCGTGCTGAATACAACGCGTCGCTTCATGCCCATCTTGGGCGATTCCTGCTGTATGATGATGGTGCGCTCGAAGTTCGCGCCAGCATATTGAGTGCCGCCCTAAAAGTAAGGAGAACTTTTCTAGGGATCATTGACATACTCTATGCTACAAGCTTACGCCACTCTGGCCGAGCTCCTCGGCCACAATGAAGCTGTTCTCCTTGCACAGGGGCAGGCAGTCGCAGGTCCTTTCCAGCCAATTGTTGCGCGCCAGGCACAGCATTCCCTTCACAGAGCAAATAGGCTCTTTGGGACCGGCGGCATAGAAGAAGGGCTTGCATTTGCACAGATCCAGCGCCACATTGATGCGGCACTCCAGACGACACAGGCTGGGATGATAGGGCTGCCCATTGATGGGCCATAAAATCGATTTTATAATATATCACTGGATATTCTTCAGTTTTGGTCTCTTACACTATAGTACTTGAGATTGTTCTCCTCGATGTAGCGACACTTGCGATAGGCGACGGGCACATTGCGCACTTCGTCCTCCGCCGATATCGAGCTGAGCAGCACCTTCAGCAAATAGGAGGTCTCGATGCCCGTATCTATGCCCACTGTGCGTCGATCCTTTGGCAGCATCACCTCGTTCACATCGTGCATAAACTAAGCATATGCCAGTTAAGATTCGTATCCAATTGCGAGCCACTTACTACTTACCAGATGGACATGTGTGCCAGGCACAGCTGGCTTGATTGTGGTCTGGCAATTGGCAAAGGCATTGCATAGACGCACGGGCGGCACTTTGAGTTTGACGCTGTTGATGAATAGAAAGTTGGAAAAAAAAAATGGCAATTCGATTTCGTGGCATAATTATATAGAATATATGTTTCTGTACTCACTTTGAGCCGTAGGGATTGCCGAATTTTACCAGCTGGGAGGTTGTCTGGCACAGGCCCATTTCAGTGAGAGTGGGCGCCAATTCGGGCAAACTCTGGTTGGCAGCGGGTAAAACTCGGTGCAGAATATTAAATAATAGTTCAACAAAATCGATATTCTCCAACGTTGTGTCGTTCTCATAGGGCGCCAGCGTTTCCAGGTTATTGTACTGCAAGCGATTCACCACGAGCAGAAATTTGCGATAATAGTTGATCCTCTCGTCTTCGTCTTCTGACGAGCCAGATCCCATATTCCAGGTGCTGTCAATTTTTGTTCAAAGTCAAACCCTTTATTATCCCAAACGGTGTGCATACTCACTTGTGGATCAGGTCTCCTGATACCTTTGCGTCCATGGTGACAAACTGGGTGCAGAGAGTGACCCCCATGAAGGGAAAGGAGCGCAACGCAAAGAGATATTCGTACTCGTAGACAATGGGATTATCGCGAAAGCGTTGCCACTGCGAAAGGCAGCTGCCGATGGCATAATAAGCGGCTGCCACGATCATTGCCAGCCAAAAGATGCGCTCGATCCAGTGCAGATCTTTGCGCGCCACATAGGGCATGCCATGTATTGCCGATTCCTTGGACAACTCCATCCACCAATCGTGCTCCTCGCCGTGCTCCGGGCTCGACTCTTCTCTCTCCTCGATGTGACTTACCATGTTGTACTGAATGTGCTCGCATGCGACGCACTGGCTTTTAAATAGAGTCGAGCCGAGTCCTGTAAATGATGCGCTCGACTAATTACCGAGCTGTTTTTATATATAATAATCATCCTTAATGGTATTCTCCTGTTGCTTTCATTCTTTCGACATGCATTTTCCATTAGCCTGCCAAAGAGAAAAAGGAAAATGTTAACTATGACTTATGGATTAAAATTTAAATACATATAAAAACATTTTTAAAAATCTTTTAAATATAGAGGTCAAATCATAGCCACAAAGAAATCGGCTTACATTAACATCTATTTACATATGAGCAATGCATGTTGTGAATACAAATTTTGTGGCTAATTAATTAGATAATTTTCATGCAAATGCCCAAATTTGTTTCACACTCAATTCATTAAGTTTATTAATTAACCAAAAATAGAGACCAGTTCGAAGTAAAATTGTGCCACATTTCCAGCACAAGGCTGAGGTCTATGAATAAAAGAAAAAACCGGCTATGAAATTTTTGTTTATGAAAATCAAACAAGAAAAGCTCCAAAGTAAATAGGTGTGAATTTTAATTTATTGCTCGTGAACTGTTTGCACAGCTTGTTAGTACTTTGACGCAAGCTAACCAAGTGCCCGGCTAGCTCAGTCGGTAGAGCATGAGACTCTTAATCTCAGGGTCGTGGGTTCGAGCCCCACGTTGGGCGAGCATTAAACTTTTTTGTGTTGCTTCGTTTTTTTTTTTTTTTTTTTAATTTTTCAAATAGTTTTCCTCAACATTTGTCAGCTGCTTTGAGTAATTTTTTGGTATTAAATCGAACAACAATGTCGCACAATGTGTGGGAGACTTGTACACAAATAGATATATATATAAATTGGACTATGGCTAATAAGTATTTATTTATAGCGCTAAACCTGAAGAGTGGCAACAGCAGCAGCAGCAACAACAACAAAGTATTCATAATCACAGCGCTGACGCAATACTCAGTCATTTTTATGACAACATCTCGTTTTTCTCCGATTGCTTGAAAATGGCTAAAAGCCGCATTCAAGGCCACAACTTGGCTGGCTCTGCGAAATGGCACAGTGCACAGTTTGTATTTGTGTTGAGTTTATAGAAAAAGTCACTTATTGTCGGTTGTGTCGCTTGGCTTTTGTGTTGGCCCCACTCAAAGAGAGTGCACAGGAAGTGCGCAGGATGTGAGCCGAACCAAGCAAAGCCAACTGGGAAACTGGCACAAGGCTATGGCCATGATGTGCCGGTTCCTCTCGAGCTTCCGATAGTGCGTTTGTTGTGCAATTAGAACAAATATATGTACATATATATATAAAGCAGGAATTAAATCTTCGCATTTTCATAATAACTTGCTCTGTAAACAGTTCCATCGCACCGAACCCTGAACCGAAGCTCGAACCTTAACCCAAAATATGAATTACTTAAAATTATATATTGTTATATATCTCATGGTAAAACACAGCGAGCCTTGTCCAGCTGAAAGTTTAGTAAATTAAAAGCCCAATTTAAAGTTGAGAAAAATATGATGAACCCGAGTTAGAACCATAATGCGAAATAACTGGTTCGAATCATATTACGAACAGCCGACAATTTTGATGGGGCTTAACAACAGTCAAGTTTGATCTCATAAACGGATTGAATAACATACCGATCTTCAGGTCTTAAGTGAATATCACATGCTAAGAGATCTTTTGTTCGTTTAACACTCGGGGAAATTAAAGTATGTGAACTACATGACGCTCGTCTCGACGGATCCAGACAATGATCCCCCGCAGATTGTAATCTGAAGCATGCGAAAAGTGTTTCCTCTTCAGACGCCACAAACAATGCCACGCAGAGGCTGGAGGAGAGAAGTCGTCGTCGTCGTCGTCGTCGTCGTCGTCGTCGTCGTCGTCGTCGTCGTCGTCGTCGTCGTCGTTATATTAATTACTTTGCATTATTGTTTAAAGCAAACTGCGGGCAATTGTTGCTGTTGCTGTGGATGTTGCTGCTGTGAGTGGAGGAGATTGTCGTTTAGCCTGGCATTTTGACATGATGTGCATTTGAAATAGTGTGGCGTGATTGAAATGCGATTGAAACTGGGGCTGCACGAGAAGAGGAGAGATGGGAAGGGAGTGGAGACTACGCTAGCGAGACCTCAGCATACTCTATAGAAGTGTATTTCCATCGGTCCATCGACATGGCGCAAAATAAGCTGCGATTAATTAAAAATGTTTATGAAATTGCGCACGAGAGCAACAGAAATGTTAAGATAGACTAGAGATAAACTCTCGGCTCGTGTGTATTACGTGTGGGTGTGGCATCATCATCAAAGTTGTTGTTGTCGTTGTTCTGGTTGTTGTTGTCGTTGTCGTTGTCGTCTACACGCCCAATTATATGCATAAGACGTCTGGCTGGAGGGTTTTGTTTGCATTTGCTAAATATATTCGAATCGGAATTCAGAATGTCAGGCGAAAGTTCAAGCAATATCAGACATATCAGTCTGATGAGTGGCATATAATAAAGGTTTTGCGATGGTTGAGTTTAATAATATTTATTGTATACCAAATGAAATTACCCGGCATTGTCCGGATCAGAAAAGATGCCACCCTTGCAAAACCAAATTCAAATTCCATTCCCAGTCGCCTTTCTTAAAAAAAATAACAGACTCAAATATAAAAATTTCTCTTGTACTTGAACCGGCGATCTCACGCATGCTAGTTCTACGCACATATAACTTGTTATTGACTTTTTCAATATAATATTTGCAATATAAAGAACAAACCTCGCATCCATCTCGCTCAATTGGTACAACCTTTGTAGCGTTCATCTTAATCTAGTGTAACTAGTTTGTCGTGTTCGGGGCTCGTCGATCGTATCGGGAATTATGTTAATTCGCAACAAGTTACATTGTAAAAAAACATGATTGATTAGCCCCATTACAATGTGCCGCTAATTAGCCGAAGAATTAAAGCCCTGTTTGGATTCCATATAAAAATGGTCGAGTGAACCAGACGACGAGTGCATCGTGTTGCACGTATTCGAAAATGTGGTCCGCATTGTTGCTGTTGTTTTCAAGCCAGATTGTGTGCTGTGTCCTGGCGGCTGATTACGAGATGATTATTGATGATCCGGATATATTCTCGAATTGCAAAGAACCACCGCCGGGCGCCGGAAACATACACAGCCTGTTGAACATGGACGAGCTGGAGCTCACTCTCGATGGGGATACCATACACATTGAGGGCAATGCGACAACTGTTTGGGACATACAGCCGGGTGATCGCATAGCGGTAACAAGAGAAAATAGAAACCAATTCAATATCTAAGCTTGCCTTACTTAAGAACCCAATAATTATGCTAGGCTACCGCGCGCCTGATGCAATTGGATCGTGGCGTCTGGCAGCCGACGGTGTTCAGCATTGCCACGCAGGACTTTTGCGACATTATGTATGACAAGGATCAGTATTGGTACAAATATTGGACCAGATATGTTAAGAATGCGTCGGTCATGGAAAAGAAATGCGTTCATCATAAGGGCGTAAGCTGACTTGGTTCATCTTTTTGATTAGGCGCTGATTCTCTTCATTTTGCAGGCCAAATTGATTCATGAGCCGTTCGATCTGAAAATGGTATTTACTAATATTCGTGGCGCCTCGCTGCAGGGACGCTACAAGGTTGTCGTCATCATGGAGGCCTTTGATGACGATAAAAATGTTAAGCGACCCAAGAGCATTTGTCTGGAGATAGTAGGTGATTGTGAGAAGCTATGAAAATATTTGTATGAATTGGAAGGCAATGCGAATTCAACTTTATGTAACGAAAACTTATCCTTAATAATACAACTGTAGTTCAATTAGAATCGCTAGCAAAAAGTTAAAAAAGCTTTAAATGGCACCCAGAGAACTTTCTTTGCATGGCTTCCCTTTTAAATCAGACGCAGGTCAAGTTAAATCGATTTTTTTCTTATAAGACTAGCGGGTCTACCGCATATTTAAATGAAACGAAACTTTCGATGAGCCCTCCTCTACGATTCTCATAAATTCTAGTGGGCCCTCACATTTTGGTGATCTTTTAGTTTTGTGTAAATATGTAGTGTGTGTGTGTGTGTGTGTGTGTGTGTAAATGTGTATACATCATTCTCCCTCACTATCTCTATCTCCCTTTCTCTCTCTTTGTCATTACTTGGTCTCTCCTTCGTTACTCCCTCTGTCTCATTACTTGTTCTCTCCCTCGTTACTCCCTCTGTCTCATTACTTGTTCTCTCCCTCGTTACTCTCTCTCTCTTTAATTACTCTCACTCTACTACTGTCTATCCCTCTCTCCGCCCCCCTCTCTCTCTCTCTCTCTCTCTCTCTCTCTCTCTCTCTCTCTCTCTCTCTCTCTCCCCCTCTCACTCTCTCTCTCTCCCCCTCTCACTCTCTCATTACACACACACTCTCTCTCTCTCCCTCTCTCTCTCTCTCTTTCTCTCTCTCTCTCTCTCTCTCTCTCTCTCTCTCTCTCTCTCTCTTTCTCTCTCTTTCTCTCCCTCTCTCTCATTACTCTCCCCCTTTTTCTCTTTCTCTACCTCTCATTAAACTCTCTCTCCCTCATTACGCTCTCTCACTCTCTAACTGTCTACTCCATACATTTATATTAAAGCTACGCTCTCTGCTGCTGTCATACTTCTTATTTATTTTATTTTTACATGTACAGGGTATAATAATGGCTTATCTTTAATCCCCTATTTGATTCTGTGGCTGCGGCACGCGCTGATGTCAACAGACATTCAACTGTCATTCGAGATTGGCCTTTGTTGGTTGTGCCTGTGCGAGTGTGTGTGTGTGTGTGTGTGTGCGTATGTGTGTAGAGTTCATCAAGCGTTTCGTTAATGCCGCATGTTGCAAGCCGCAGTCACAGTTTTGTGTTACATGGTTACACACAGTGCCTGCTACTTGTATTCCGCCCGCTGGCATGTGGCAATGCGATCGCCAATTGTATTTGTAATCGCATTTATATTGAAATGGACGCAACTGGCAACTGGCATATGCAAATGTACGGCTGTCAGTTATTAAATTACTTGATGAATGATATAAATCGTGGCGTCTATTCTCAACTACTTGCCTCACGATTGCCAATTGGCTGCGCAGCATTTGATATTTAGTGCCGATTCATTGCCAATTGTTGAAACGATTTGCCCTAAACAAAACTTTCATTCGCCAAAAGAAGTTATTATTCAGCAGCAGCAGCAGCAGGAGGCACAGCATCAGAAACGCCTTCATCTTGCAACACTTTCATTTCAAATTTCTTGTTACACTGTGCAACATACATATATATTTATATTTAAGCAACTTTCTAAAAACAAATCTGGCCAAAAAGGTGCAAATTAGTGGCGCACGACTTTGTGCAGCAGGCGGCAGAAATGATTGCCCCAGGCCTAACCATACAACGTATATAGAAAATCAATTGGTAGAACCTCGCGATGGCCTTTAGTCATAAGCGCGGCTGCCGCTACTCGCTTAGCATATTGTCTACCCTGCCACATCTTCCCTTCCCCCCCAAAAAAAAGTTGCTAACCCAAAAAAAAGCGCTATGTAGGACGTGGCAGCAACTGAACCCGTTTGGCCAGCCAGCTACCCGGCCTGCCATCTCCCAGCTAAACCGCTCTAACTAAGATTCACAAGCTCGGGAAGCACAAAATTATCAAACAACAGCAACTGCAACAACAACAACAACTGCTGCTGCTGCTGCTGCAACAACTGCTGCAACTGCAGCAACGTTAAAATTATGTTGCATGAATGGCTGTGAACCAGCTGAGCTGTGGCAACTTGGCGAGGCAGCGTTTTAAACTCGTGTAGGATGTTTGTAGGCTATTGGAAAGATCAAGAGTTTATAATGTGATTGTGTGTATCTGTGAGAACCTTTCCAGTTTGCCGCTGCCTCTGGCAGTGGCTGCGACTGCGACTGCGACTGTGACTGTTGTTGCAACGCCTCTCTCGCTGCCGTTGCTTGGCATAAATTGTGGGTTTTTAGGTGTCTCGCACAGTTGCAGTTAAATAGATACATACACTCAGAGAAAAAAAGCGACACACTTCAATCTAGTTAAACCCAATATGAGTTGATTAAATTAGTATGAAAACTGAGACGAAACTTGTTAAAAAAAATCAGAAAATGACTAAGAAACAAGTTTAAGAGTTTAGCTTTTTATAGTTATGAAATTTAAATCCTAAATTTAGAAAAACATTTTTAGTCAGTCTTGCTTTCTCTTTGAAATTTCAAACCTAATTTCCTTTTTGTTTTTCTCTCAGTGTACTCGTAGTACCAGCTCTCACAGATACGCGCGATACGCGAGATATGTTGCACATTTCACAGCAGCAGCTGCCTACAGCATGCAGCCAAACTGGAAAGTGTTGGCTTTTGCACTCGTCACACACACACACACTCACACTCATACACACACACACACCTGCTCATATCTATTTTGTTGTTGAGGCCAGCTAAATGGGCAAGCTCTGCGCTTCGCTTTAATTCGAACGAGCCTCAATTTGTTGCACGTAGCTAGAGCCCAGATTAGGCCTCTAAGTACGCATATTTGGCTCTAATAACACCTCGGACCCAAAGAACGCTTCATTCATGAGCTCTCCAAAAACTCGAAGCGTTGCAAATGTTTTGATATGCGAGCTTAAGGCGCAGAGAAGCCCGAAATGAACGCCCACAACGCCATCAACTTGCCCATAATGCTCGTGTGTGCCGCACAGTCTCTCTCGCTCTCTTCCTCTCTCCCTCTCTCTCCTTCTCTGTCTCTCTCTCTCTCTCTCTCTCTCTCTCTCTATTGACCGGGCTCTGTACACAAAATATTTTCATTCATAAAATGCCGACAAGTCCGAGTCACGTCAACATAACGAGCGATGCCCACGCATTGAGCCAAAGACGGCTTATCGAGTTGTTGTCACCGAAACGATTTGTACACAATTCTAATACTCTTTCTTTAAAGAGAATATATTAGATGTTGTCATAGAGCTTTACCACGTCACTTTAATAAGAATCGAACGAAAAATGTGGTAAAAGTATCTGGTATCTAAGTCATATGTCTTGAAGGGTATTTGGAGTTCGGCTTGTTTTTGTTGTTTATCGCAAAAATTGCATGTGGGCTGCTTTCTGTGCCACGCTTTGTCAATCATACGGAAATTGTGTGTGATTTAACGATTTTTCAGCTTAATATGCAGTATTTTATATATTTTTGTTTTGTTTCTATTTTTTTTGGAAATATTGTTTAGCATTTTGCCTTGGGCTTTCATTCAGCCATTAATACATATATTATGATAATCAAATCTTTGCTAAATTTGCATTTAATGGGCGGACAACAGAATCTCAAGAATTTGTACAAATTATAATGAGAATTAACCCTGAGCCAATTGTTAACTTTTTGACCAGCATACATATGCTTACAAATCAACAGCAATGAGTTTGGGCTTAAGTTTCAATTTCAAATCATGTTGTCATTCTGTAAGTACGTTAACATACTATCGATTACGGAAGGTCAAGTGATCAATCGGCCACATGGCTGGGAGCACAAAATGCGCAACATGCCAAATAAGGCGCATCACAGACAGTCTGTCGTGCCGGTGGCCATTGACTGACAATCACACAGCCCGGCGTGCCTGTCCCATGGCTGTCCCAGTGCCAAAGATCTACCGCCGCCAACTTCTTTGTCGTCGTGTTATGAATTATAAACCTTATAAACCTTTGTCGTCGTCAGTTGATGTCTATCGGCTTTATTATCGTTGCGATGCCACTTTGGTGCCCATTACGTAGAGGCCGCCACAAAGGCAAAGCCAAAGCAAACAAAAGTGAGCATGCCCTGTAAGTGCAGTCCTAATGGGTATATGCGTTCGATTAATTTACAAGCTTTTTCATAGATATCTTTTTCTTTTTATCGATATATACATTTTTCTTCGATATCTTTTACTTGTTAGAAATATCGATAAATATTTTCCTTCGATATCTTGTACTCCTCAAAAATATCGATTATTATATTTTTCTTCGATATCTGTTCCCATTTTAAAAATATCGATGCACATTCGTGTGTTTTTCTGCAATTTGGAAGGTATTATTGTTTCTAAAGGGTATCACCTAGTCTGTCAGCCTCACCTACAGAGAGAGGGAGAGAGAGAGAGGTAGACTGTGTTTGAGTAAAATAAATGCTTTTGCAGAAATAACCGAAATCGATTTCCGTTCAATTTTGTTGCACCTCTTTCGTGCGGCTCAATGCACTCGTCGTTCGACTGCGTCACCTTTTTTATGCAACGCCGTACCCCCTTCACCCCCCATCCCCCTGCACCCTGCGCTGCCTACCCCTTGCCAGCTTTTGTTTGCATTTTGGGCTTTTTTTTAGCTTTGTTGTAAATGGATTTTGCCGATTGGCATTTGCGCGAGCCTTTTATTGTGCTTATTTTTGGACTCGAATGCAAAACTCAAAAACGAAAGCGAAATTCAAATTGCATTTATTTTTTGCTTGGGCTTATTTCTTTCTCTCTTCGGCGATTTGTGAAGTTTTGCGAAAAAAGGGCCGCAGTGCGATGCTGCAACACTTGACTGGCCATTAAATTGAGGCATTGACAGGGCCCGTTGTCATCATTCGATTCAGTGCTCGATTTCAATGTCAATTTGCTGGTGTAATTGTAATTGAAACTGAGCGGCAAAAAACGAGAGCAATAAAACGCGCCATAACGACTTTTTAGTTGACTGTGCGTGTGTTTGAGTGTTTACTGTAGTGTAGTTGCATGGCTTTCATGGCCCGAAACCAGTTTTCACTTTTTATTGACCATTTGGCGCTTCTTTACTTACGTTTTATTCTCAAATTATGTGCAAATCCTTAACTACTTTTTATGGTGTGTGTGTGTGTGCGCACAATTTGCAGCCGTTTTGTCTTTTATGGCCTGACAATGAAACCAGTAAAAAAACAGCGAGAAGAACTCCTGCTGCGACATGTCGTTTTGACCATATTTCGCACAGAGCCAACATTTTGCTATTGTGAGAATCGCTTAGCTGGCCAATTGCTGGTCGTTGGCCCAAAGCTCGAATCACTTTCGTTCTGCTTACCTGTTGAATAAAGCCAGCAACAACAAATAAGTAGCAAAATACACTAAAGTTTATTAAGCACACCCCAGGCATCGAGCCCTTCGACTAAATGGTTTCAATTAAGTTCCACAGTCAAGGCTGAGGTGGAGCAGGTGCTAATTGCTGTCGCCTATGCTGTCACCTCATGAATAACAAGTTAACAACCAAGTCTCTGTGCGTCAGTCTTTAAAAGAAAAGCCTTGAAGAAAATGTTAAATCATAACAAATTCGTTGCAGATTTGACGATATTACAATAATTCCTCTCAGTGGACTTGATATATCTGATGTACTGTCGAGAAATATTGAGAAAACCAAAATAACTTGGATACTCCAAGAGCTAGAGAGCTAAAATATGTGGGCGTAGTTCCGGACCCCTTTAGAAGTATAAAAAGTAGAGTATAATGCATATTTGGCTCCGAAAAGGTACCTAAAGTATAGACATGGTTTCGGGTGATTCCACCCGCACGTGTGGAAAATGCGTGAAAAACGTTTGCATGAAACCTTTTTGTTTACCATCTTAACGGCTTTAAACCCAATGTCAAAGATCTTTGAGGGAATTTAAGTAAAACATGCCATCGGCAAGACCGGGATATAACCTCAAATAACCTATATAGAAATGGGTGAAAATTTCCCACTCGCATAACTTGGTCAAAACTCAACCGTTTTTCATAAGGTTTGTAATTTTGTTCTTGGTTCGATCTAGATCTGATCTAGATCAATTTGACATCAAAATCTGGCAACATGATTTTTGGTACAAATTCAAGTAAAATATCTTATATAGGTCGATATTTCTCAAGTAGTTTCTCATAGATTTGTATCTATCCTATATATACTTTGTCAATTCCTGATAAAAAGAATTCACATATTTTCAACAATACGTTTGTCTTTTGCAACTTTGCTTCAATTGAGTTTTAAATTTAAACTTTGCGCTGATTGATAAGAGCGCAAAATGCAGCCAATTGAGTTGATCAGTTTTATTGTGTTAAATTGTTTGGCTCGAACATATTTTTGATCAGATTTAATGAAATGCACAGACAACAAAAGTCGCAACTCAATCAAATTAAACACAACATGAACTTTAGTCAGAGCCGCCTCATGCAAACATATTTCATATGTCAATAACTTTTTAATGTATTTTCACGGGTGCCTAAAACTTTTTACAAGCCAAATTCGCAGCCTGAAAATGTTCAAAATAATTGGCAGAAGCAGCAAAAAAAAAAACCAGCTGCAAAGTTTGCCAAGCCTTGTTGGCAGCCAACATTTCGAAACGGCATAAATAACATTAGGGATATGTCTTTAATCCTGTAAATGTACTCGATGGGCAACATTTTTGTTGACTTTCATTTTAATTTGCTCAAAGTTATAAATGTTAATCGAATAAAGATAACTTATAATTTCGTCCAATCAAATTTGGCACTTTAAAAACTATTGTATAAATTGCAAATAAATGAGTCCATGTTGTAGACATTTGCCTTTTGTATATACCCTGCGCGGATTTAAAAGGGACGCAAGGGTATATTCTTTTTGTGCAAATTTGTGTAACGGATAGAGGATAGCATTTCCTTTCTCTTAAACAGCATATATATTCTTGATCAGAACGAAAAGCTGATTCGGTTTCCATATAAGCAAAATATTTTAAATGTTATATATAGGCATATTCTCTTGTAACATACGCAGTAGAAGTTCTTCCTTTCGTTTCGATAGCTCCTCCTGTTTATATGATATCGATAAATATCGATTTACAGACTTGGTTTTTTAAGCATAGCTCGAAGAGCATAAGAGCTATTTAAGCCAAATTTGTTCTATAGTTATATATAATAATATAACAAGCAAATGACATGCACATGCACAGTTATTGGTGTGCAGGGTATTTAATAGTCGACTAGTCGTGGTCAACATTGCTGGCAACCTTTTCTATTTACGATTGACCCACACGTACGCACAATTTGTCATGGCTGTTGCGTGTGTGTGTGTGCATGTGTGTGTGTGTGTGCCTGGCCGTGTGTGTGTGATTTGGTTTTCATTTCAAGACGATAAAAAAGAGTCGTTCGCCTTTGATCAGCTGTTTATTGCATACTAAAATGCATATTTGCCGAGCTTCAATTGAATTCTTGAGCCTTTTGGCTGTTTTAATACAAATCCCAAATCGATTTGGTTCAATATTTCTTTAACCTCTTATATATATTTTTGTATCCTTTTTTTTTGCAGAACACATCGCCGTTGTGGGAGGACTTTGTGGCCAAGGCGAGTAAACTCCACACATGCCTGCGGTAAGTTGCCTGAGGGAATTGTGGGCTCAGTTTAAGCAAATTTTCACAATCGTTTCACGATTGCAAAACTTTGCAAACAGGGGAAAACTAGAAAAAGAATACAAACCAAAAATAAGAAATCGTATGCATAAACATAATTTGAACTATTTGAAAGTACTCGTAAACTGTTTGGGTTTTTATGCCTGGCATTTCCTCTCACAGTCTATGATTATGTTTTTTTTGGCCATTTGCCTGGTTTCGCGTTTTGTTTATAGTTGTGTTTTGTGTGTTTCTTTAACGCTCAGACTTGGCCCCAATTTGTAACGCCAGCGGCGGCAGTGTCTGGCATATGCAATACTACTTATATACACATATTTAGCATATGTATATAGCATACAACTTGCATTAATCATGCGCTCAAATCAAGCTAAAGAGTCTGTTGTCTTTGGCAGCGTAAAAAGAAATTCTGCGCCAAGTGTTTTGCCCAATGCGCTTGACACACATACGCACCGTTGCCCGACCAAGTCCCTGGCCGGGCCAGGCCAGAGACACGACACAACCGGCCCAGCATCTTCATCATCATCATCAGCTACTTGGGCGCAGTCGCTCTTTGGTCTGTCCGTCTGTCCGACTGTCCGTCCGTCCGACTGTCGTCTGCCTGCCTCTGCCATTTTCAATTGAAATGTCGCCCACGGCCAATAAAGTTTGTTGCAAAGTTTATTAGATTTGTGGCTGCCGCACTATAATCAATGGCATCTTTTCAGCCATTACTTTAGCATGCTGTTGTTTCTCTTTATATACCCTATAATTTGTTGTAACTGAGGCAAAGGGGTATATTGTAGTTGAGCGTATGTATGTGACGGATAGAAGTAGTTAATTTCCATGGAAGCGACAACAATTTGTAAATTTATATCTATACGCTGATCAAGTTTTGTAAATAAATATGTGTAACATCGATAGGCATCGATTGATTATATCGATAAATATCGATTTTATCTTATAGTGTATTTATCTTACGCTGATCAAGTTGGATTACTAATGAACGATAACTATGTTCACAATATCGATACATATCGTTTGATTCTGTCGCTAAATATCGTTTGATTGTATCGATAAATATCGATTTTCAGTTAAAGTGCATTAGAGATTATACAAGATATTCATATTTGACATTCAGGTTATCTTTTATGCATACGATTTTGTTTAGATTTCATTTTTCCAATATATATCTGTTAACAGGGTATTTGCTAGTCGTTTAGCGAAGCACTCTCAGTTGTTACAACTATATAATCTGTGTGTGTATTTTGTTTGCTTTTCTTCTATGTTTTTAGCGCTGCGATTCAGGCAATTGCCGCCTATTTGGATGCCTTCCAAAAGATCGCCGATGCGGCCACCAATTCCAGAGGTAAGTTCAAAAGTCGTAAACATAAAAACCTGACCAACCTGAGCACCCCGCCTCTCTTTGCCTGGCCTGGTATGGTACATTAGGTACATTGGGTACATTGAGTACTTCCATCTATTATTTATGCGTATTGCCGAACGAGTCGAACGGCGACAACGACGTCAACGTCGGTCATCGATCTGATTTCACGCCCGTTCTGTTCTGCTTGGGGTCTGTTTGGCCGGTGCTCACGCATTTTTTCAGTTTTGCTATTTATATTTATTTATTGGCTGCCTCTCGATGGGCGCTTCACGCTCCGAGCTCTGATTATGCAATGTTGCTCACCTGGGCGGCCACAACAACAACAACAGCAACCAGAACAACAAGAACAGCAATCGGGAACGGGAACGGGAAGTGACAGCCACTTGGATATTTGCTTTGATTTCTACTCTGTCTTTACTGTGGGCAGCAATAGAACAGACAACTTGAACTGAGATCAAAGACCACAGACAACATGTATTTAGTTAGATGGCATTCAAGTAGTTGAAGTTGACATTTCGTTAGTTACGGCTAGTTGGGATGATTCCAACTTGGAATGAGATAATTGGAATGCTAATCTGAAATGTCATTTTGGGCGTGGCTTTTTTATGTAGAACAAGCAGCGCCACCTATCGCTCACTTTTGGCAGCCCAAATAGGAATATTTAATTAAATAATTAACATAAAACCTTAGAAATGTATTTTCTTTATAAGATAGGATATGCTTTAGGAGAGCTGAGAATCTTATTAAAAGGGTTCTGCTATTTCCACAACTTCCTCAGAAAACAAACAAGTGCTCTCTTATATGTAATTAAGTACAGTGTGCACTCGTTATTTTAGATTTCAAATCTAATTTTGAATTTGCGTTTTTGTACTGTGCATCAAATTAAATACTTCTGCTGACCAATTCTAGCCCAGGGCAATTCTAGCTTCCAAAAGTCCTTGCCTACGAGTGCCTACTGTAGTGAAATTTATATTGCGGCGCTTAAAAACTTATTGTCCTTATATTTCAAGTGGTTTTTCAATAGCTTTTCTTGCTGCAATCCATTTATTATGTATTCTTTTCAAAAGTTATAATGAATACTGGCATTTTTATATTATTATTATTTGTTAATAATTTGATTAAATCTGTTGATTGAACAGTTTGTTCGTGAAAAACGTTGTGAATTGTAACGTAATTGTAATCGTATACAATATGCATTCAAAATGATATTAAATATGCATATTTGTTCTCGCAATTCCCAATGCGATTCATTATTTATCTCTTCTTGATGGGACTATTTGCCGTCGCTCTGTCTCTTTCTCTCTCTCTCTCTCTTTATCTCTTTCTCTCTCGTTCCCCTGTGTATCTCATGTGTCTCATTTGCATATATTGATCCAGTCTGCTTGCACTTTCCCTGCAAGTCTAACATGCACATGAATCCTCATACGCCCCGTCTTACCCAACCACCCACACATCCATCCAGCCATGAAAAGAGGACTCCGCCATTGGCCACCCTTTTTGGTGTCTGAAGGTGTACTTTGCTCTTACTAAATGGTTTCATTAGTTTTAGTGGTTACTTGGCTTAGTAGCCTGCCTATTGGGTTCGTCTGGGCTCGGTCAAGCAGAGCCCAGGACAAGTGTCAATTGTCCTTTGCGCACTTAATGGGCCCCACAAAAAAAAGGAAAAGGCGGCCAGCACACGGGGGTGAAACTCAATAATTTGCACATGCTTTTGCCTTCCAGCGAGGGGTGGTTGACGGGATTGTCGAGTGGGTGGAGGCGATTCTGGCATCAAATTTATTTGGTATCTTTTGTATACCCTATGCTTATGTATGTATGGGGTATATGCTAGTTGTGCAGGCAGAGTAAATTTGTTATGGCAATAATAAATAAACTTACGAAATATGAATTTGAACCAGCGACCTTCCAGTCAATCAGAGAGGACAAACGCTTTTAATAAATATGAATCAGGACGGAGCTTGGTATCTGCTAGTCGAGCAGCTGCAACTCATACTCTTGATTCAATTAACTTGGATTTGGGAGCGTTCATAAAGTGGCTTATGAGGGATTTGCCTTAGTTTCGTTTTGATGGAGTACTTGGACTTGGACTAATGGGAAAGCAAGCAGAAATCAATAGGATAATGGCAAATGGGGCGCGGCAGCAAAGACATCTTTCGCTGCGATAATTAAATTTGGCACAGCTTGAAGAATAGTTTGGAGGAGCGTGCATAGATTATTGGCCATGTGCTCATGTCAGAGGCCTGATAGGCAGCTGCCTGCCCAAAGCGTAGCAGTAGCTGGCATAATGGGCACACACGAGACCGGTTGTTGACCGACTTCCCAGTCGGATGCCGTGCGGCATGCAACGCCCAAACAGGCAGACAGCTAGACGATCAGACATCCAGACGGCATGGCATGCGATGTGCAATGGGTAATCGGTATGGTTATGTGAATGGGAATGGCCATGGACACGACAGCTACAATAGCTAACATTTCCGCTCAGTTCAGCATCATGTAATTGAACGTGTCATCTCTTTCTGTTTTTCTGCAGGTGCATCCAAGGAGATTGGCACCGCTTTGACGCGGGTCTGCCTGCGTCACAAGGCGGTCGAGACGCGCCTGAAGACGTTCACGAGCGCCATTATGGATTGCTTGGTGCAGCCGCTGCAGGACAAGATCGAGGACTGGAAGCGCACGGTGGCCACCATTGACAAGGATCATGCCAAAGAGTACAAGCGCTGCCGCAGCGAGCTTAAAAAGCGCTCCAGCGACACGCTGCGGCTGCAGAAGAAGGCGCGCAAGGGCCAGACGGACAACAGCCTGCAATCGTTGATGGACTCGCACATGCAGGACGTGACGCTGCGTCGCGCCGAGCTCGAAGAGGTCGAGAAGAAGTCGCTGCGTGCCGCCATGGTCGAGGAGCGGCTGCGCTTCTGTAGCTTTGTGCACATGCTGCAGCCGGTGGTGCACGAGGAATGCGAGGTCATGTCCGAGCTGGGCCATCTGCAGGTGAGTGCGCAAACCGTCGAGAGCTTGAACCAACCTTTTTAACACTTGTGCACTTTTAGGAGGCCATGGAGTCGATTGCACTGGTCACCAAGGAACCGAGCGTGCTGCCTCAGGCCTCGGAGGAGCTCATACACGATGCCAAGGCCAGCATTAATCTATATCCCGAGTCACCGGGCGGCGGCTCTGGCTCTCAGGGTGGCGGCTGCTCCAATTCGCTCGGATCACGCAAGAGCTCCGTCTGCTCCATTAGCAGCATGAACAGCAGCGGCTCCAGCAACTCGCCGGGTCATCATCACTATCAGCGCTCGCTGTCGCAGGTGCGCATCCCCCGATCGACTACACTATGCAACAAAATTGGCTTTTAAGCAATTGGTCACATTACTTTTGAGCTTTTGAGCAAGAAAATGATAACAATTGATTGTATATACTGAGACAACATAGTTCGTAGCTAGACTTCGATCAATTGTTATTTTAATTATCGGATATATATATATAATTTTGAAGCTAAATTTGGAATTTGAGCCAGCGCTCTTCAATGTTTATATAAAGTACTTTGTTCATAACTTCCATAATTGCAAAACAGTTTTCAGTGTCAGATATCTTGACTAATCTTGCCCATTATCAAAGCATGTCGCTAACTTAATTGTTATTAGCCAATTTGTAACTAAGTGTTAGCAATTATATTAAGTGCCTTTCTCGCTAATATCTCATATAAATATTATCACTGATAAAGAAAAAAGAACAGGGCCATTAATCGTAATCATATTGTCGGGATATTCATCACGCATTTAAAGCTGTGCTCAAATTAACAAATCGAGTGACCAATTGTTTAAGTTTATAAATATTTAATTATATTATTTTTGTTGTATAGCCTCTTTGTGTGTGCATTGCCTGTCGCCTGTTGTCATTGTGTGTTACTTTGCGTTCTCATCATTTATGTCTTTTGTGTTTTTTTTTTTTGTTTTTAGTTTGTAACGCCCGCAATTCGCTTGAAACCTGGTGAATCCAGTGATAGTGGCTTTTGCTCATCGCCAGCGCTAACAACACAGGTTTTCATTTTAATTTAATTTAATTTAATTTACTTAATGTGATTTTGTGCAATTATATTTGTTTGAGGTTTGCCTGCCATTTAACTAATCACGACTATTTTCCGCAGGCATCGACTGCAACAAATCAGACGCATGCCGTCTCCACTTGGCCGCCACATTCCCAGGACGTTGTGGACACGCTGCCGCCGACTGCCGATCGTCCGCACACGATTTCCACAACCTACGAGAAGGGCCATCAGCGTCCGCCGCTAACTGTTTACACGTTCCAGAATCCCGAGACTATACACGAGTCCAGCAGCAGCGGCAGCCTCATAGCCGGTGCTCCCGGTCCCGCTGCTCCTGCTCCCGGTGCTGCTGCTCTGCCCAACAGCAGCTCCTCCTCCGCCTCGGGCCAGACCACGCCGGCTCCACAGAAATCGCCAGCCGCCTCGCTCAGTCGTCCACCGTTGCCAGTTGTAAGTATTGGCTGACAGTTTTTTTCTTTGTTGAATCTCTAGTCCTTAAGTTGTTTCTTGTTATCGTTTGCTGTGGCAACAATCAAATCAAACACACAACTCTATTTAGAAGCCGGCACATGTGGTAAGTGGCAGCAGAGAGTAGACAACCATTGCGCGCTCATTTGCATGCGCTAATCCCTGCCCGCTCAACCGCTCACCAACAGTTACCGACCGTCTCTAAGCGCCTCATCTTTGATAGCCTCACATATATATAAATATATATACCCTTCCTAATGCCCTTTCGTTCATTAATTGCAGCGCTGCTCGTCGCTGGAACGCCCGCTGTCGGCGCAGAGCAATCATCGCCAGAACAGTGGACAGAACTTGCTGCAGCGCCAGTGCCCCTCACCGATACCGGCTCATATCACGAAAGGTACGCGAAGGAGTACAATTTTCACTACTCCTTTAATACCCTAGCTGACTATTTTGCGATATGTATTAACAAAACTTTCATACAGCTGTCCGTATATTTGTCTGCCTTTTTCTATCTTTAAAGTTGTAGAACAAAATCCAAACAACATCCTATCCAATATAAAGGACTTGCAGTCCTCGCTAAATGAGTTGAGCGAAAACCCCTGGTTCGAACACCTGATTATGTATAAATGTAAGCTTGTCTTAGGCGAATGCCTTTGTTTCGAGTGCTATTATAAGTTAATTTAAATAGTTAACTAAAAAGTGACTCTCTACACACCAAGCACAAAGTCTAGAGATCGAACCCCGCTTGAGTTCGAACACGTAAATAGTTGGCCGAGTATTTGAAACGCATTTAGGTTCAAGTTAATAATAATAACACAATTTCTATATGTCCGCTAAGGGTATTTCATCTTCGGCACGCCGAAGGCAACAATATTTTATTTGTTGGTTTTTCATGTTGTTTCCTTGTGTGAACGCCTTAATGCCTAATCCATTGCGTCTTTACTAATCAATCCATGTACTCGTTATTGTGCTGCTCTCTCTCCCAACACCAAACACCATGCGCATGCTTTGTCCAACGTTCATGTTAATGTCACACAGAGCTGTCCGCCGCACATCATGCACAGCAACAGCAGCAACAGCAAACACAGCAGCAACAAACCACGCCCACCTATGTTAATATGTCCGAACTGGCGGCTATGAAACTAACCAACCAGCAGCAACAGCAGCAATCACAGCAGCAATCGCAGCAGCAGCAGCAACAAAAGCCAGCAACACCTTTGTTGCAGCAGCAGAGCAGCATTGATTCGATATGTTCGCAGCACTCGAATGACTCGTCGACAGGCTCGCTACAGCATCAACTGTTGCAGCATCAGCAGCAGCAGCAATCGCACATGAATCATCAGCCAACAGGATTAGGCACACGCTCCCATTCCATATCCTCGTCGGTGTCCTCGAACACGGCCTCCTCGTTGCACTCGCATCCATCCATTGACTCGGCTGTTGCTGCCTCGCTGGTGGGCACAGCTGGTGGTGGTGGTGGTGGTAGTTGTCACACTAATACCAATACCAATACAAGCACCACAACACCATCCAGCGGCTGTTCAACGCCACAGAATCACTATTCACCACTGTTAACCAACTCACCCACGTCCACTGCCGCAGGTACACCCAGTGGCGGCAGCATTGCCAGCGGCCTCGGCTTTGTCTATCAGATCAGCTCACCGACGCCGCCCGCCTCCGCCAGCGAAGTGCTCAAGATCACCGAACCGTCGCCACCGGCTGCAGCTGTCCAAGATTCCGGCGATACCGACGAACGTTCACGTGCCTCGGTGCTGCAGAAGGCCTCCATGTTTGAGAAGCAGGCAGCCGCTGCCGCTGCATCAGCGCCTGTGCCTGTGCCGCCAGCTGCATCGAGTGGTCGGCGTTCCGAGGAGCTGCGCGCGGTGGAACAACAGGAAATGGGTAAGTCACAGCCGCTGCACACATATACACACATACACACACAGTTCACAGTTCAAAGTTCAAGCTAGAGCCCGGCATCGGTTGATTGATTTGCATCAAACTCGAATACTCAATCGATTGAATCGAAAATTGACAGACTCGAACAAACATGTTTGAGCTCGAGCACATTCGAAACGAACCGAATCTAGTTACAAGCAAGTTCGATCGAACGTCACTTTCTTTTTGTCTGCAACTCGAACTGCTCGAGTCAAACATATTTTCATTGCTGACTAGCTCGACGGAAATAGTTTATCGAGTATTCGAAACCCACTTCGCTTGACTCGCTGCCAGGCTCTAGCTCAAGCAGACAAACTGCGTGCGCACAGTTCTGAAATCCGAATCCCGAATCTTTGCCCCCGATACTTGTTTGAATCCCGTCCCCCTTTTTGCTCACGCCCTTGTTTATGTAAGAGTATCGTTATTTAACATATTTAAAATGTTTTCTTTTTCTGTTTTTGTTTTTTTTTCCCTCCCACCAATTTCTCTTTTGTTTTTGTTGTGTTTCCTACACACACAAACACACATACACACGCACCAACAAAACACTCGTTAAAATTCGCGTTTTTTTTTAAACACTTGTACAAAAAATATTGCACCACACAACAACAACAACCACAACGACTCCAACAACAACTTCAACAACCTGAACAAATTGAATATTTAGACAAATCTTTCGAAGATTCGATACAAGCATTAAATAATTTAATTGGCGAATTAGACTCCTTTCAACGTGAGATCGATGAGGGCAAGGGCAAGCAGCACAACAGCAGCAACAACAACATCAACAACAACAACAACAACAGCAGCAGCAACAGCGGCTCGAGCAGCAGCAACAGCAGCAACGAGAACAACAACAGCAACGATCTGCTAATGTTGCCTAGCAACAACAGCGACTGCTGTGCGATCAGCAATCAAACAAATTCGAGCGGCTGCGGCACAGACATATCGGACACCACATCCGAGGAGCTGGGCGGCGGCATCGATGGCCAATTGGCCGCGGAACGACGGCATCAGCAATTGAATGCCTCGGACTCGGAGCTGAGTCGCTGTTATGTGAGCGAAACAAGTTCGCTGACCGGCGGCATATTGGCCGGCGGCTATGAGAATCCGACATTCGCGCACTTTGCCAATCGGGAAGAGCAGCCGGATACAGGTCGCAGCCACTTTGCCAGCGACAGCGTCTCGCTGACCGCCTCGGACAGCGTGTGCGTGGGCCAGCCGCGGCACGCCTATGTGGACACGTGCAGCGACGACGGCAGCGCCGTGGTCGTCATCTACGATCACCAGATACCCAATACGCCGGACATTGAGTTTGTCAAACAGAACTCGGAAATTGTGCTATTGCGCACCAAAGATCCGCAGCAATTGCAGCTGCACGAGATGCGTGAACTGCAACAGCTGCCGGACAATCTGACGGGCTCACCCGAGTCGCCGGATGGCAGCTCGGCGGGCGCCAGTCTACAGAAGCCAGCGGCAACGGCAACCGTGGCGCCCGCCAAGCAGCGACTCTCCTCGTTTCGCGCCTCCAGCGAGCAGCAGCTACAGCTGCTCGGACGCGCCAGCAGTCCGCACAGAGGTACGGAAAAGCTTAGGGTTAGTCAAGAGCAGCAGCAGCAGCAGCAGCAGCAACAATTCGCGAGTGATACAGCAGCAACAGTTGCTGGTGCGTTGCGGCGCAAGCTGCCGCCAAAGCCGATTAGCCTCAGCATATTCAATGGGCCCGTGCCCGAGCCGGGCAACAGCATTAAGCCAGTGATACCTAGAAAGTTTGACTTTAAGGCTGACTTAGATGCCAAAATACGCAAGCAGAAACTAAAAGTGCAGCAGCAATTGCAGCAGCAGCAACAGCAGCAGCAGCAACAACAACAACAACCACCACACTCACCACAGTCGCCCCAAACAACAACAACAACAAGCACAACAACAACAACAACAGCAGCAAACTGTAATGTCACTAATATACCTGCCGTTATTGCATCCGCATGCGCATCGAACAACTCGAATCATAGAATGCCAAACCACACAGCAGCAACATCTAATCATGCGCCATACAAAACGCCCAACACAGCAACAACAACAACAGCATCAACATCATCTGGGGCCAAGTTGTCATTGCCATTATCATCATCATCTGCATCATCATCATCTGCATCATTGTCATTATCCGCCCCAGCAGCAGCAGCAGCAGCATCGCCACCTCAGCCGCCCAATGTGCCCGCCAAACCCGCACCAACACCGCCCAATTCATATGCGTGCTCCACTGTCAATGCCAACAATTCCCATGCTACTGTCAAGCCATGCATAACGCCCAGGCCGGCATCGTTGTCGGGTTCGTTTGGATTTTTTGATTTATTTTTGGTTTTTCAGTTCTTTACGATTTAACCATGAACTTGATTTCTTAGCTGCGGCTTTTCTCATCACTTCTTTTGGCTTTGATTATTGTTCGATTGTTTTTGTTGTTTCTTATTTGTTAATGTTTGTCTTTAAACTGGCTGTGGAAGGTCTTAATCCCCCCCCCCCCCCCCCCCCCCCCCCAACCTAATCATTATCACTCACAGCACCATATTTATACACAGTCCTATATATATCAGGGCTACAAATGGGTTCGAACCCACTGGTACTTGAATCTTGAGCTGCAAGAGTTGCTCAGTTGAATTTACAAACAGTTCAAGCATGCATCAAACATGCATGCAACGAATCTCAGGGGTTCGAACCGCTCGCAACCAATGGCTCGAACTTCGAACTCTCTTTGCAGGTTTGCAGCCCTGATATATGTATATATAGCTCATGTACACACACAACTGCACGTTACAGCGACTAATTGCAACACTGCTTAACACTAATACAAATATCGAAAATATCGTAATTAGCGCAACTATCGCAGGGATTGTATATATAATTCTTGTACTCGTCATATTATGTGTACGATTTTTATTCATCGAAAGATGTATTTCATTTTGGCAAAGGGTTAGAAATTCCAATCTATAAAAAGTGTATCTAACATTCGACTTAATTTTGTGTGACTTCAGCATATCAAAATAGTCTTCTAACTGGTATAAATCTTATGTGGTGTGTCTTGTGGTCTCACTGTGCCTAACTTGAATTAACTAAGAAATGTTTAGTATATATAAAATAACGTGTTCTTAATGATTTCACAGGAGGAGTTGGCGGAGTAGGAGGAGGAGGTGGCTCAACGCGCATCGCACGGCGTTCTTCCATTAACCAGGCCAAGCCGCCGCCGCCAGTGCGGCGCAGCTCGTCGGTGACGCCCAGTCCCAATAATGGGGTAAGTTCTGGCTATGCTTGAAGTCATAATTAATAATTAATTACGCTTAAACGATTAAGTTAAGTCTTAAGCCTTAAGTTAAGCTTAGCGTGAGTGATCGACCGTGCCAGCAGAGACACTGTGCCACAGCAGAGACACTTTTCCTTTAACGCTTCAGTTGATTTTCATTTCTCACTTATGATTTCGTTTGCGTTATATTATGCGTGAATGCAGCTGCAACTGCAACAACAACAGCAGCAGTACGGCAACAACTCGTGCGAGCATCTGCCACCGCCGCCCGCTTACCTACTGGAAGCGTACTCCACATCGCCCACACCTCCGCCGCCGGCGCCGCCGGCCTCCATGCCCAGCTCAGCGCTCAAGGTGTCGGAGACGGTGCGTGCCTTGGCAGCCATGCGGCATCAGCCTGCCTCGCCCGTTGCGCTGCGACGCATCCAACAGCAGCAACTGCAGCAACAGCAGCAACATCCTTCACAGCAGGTGTGTGCACTTTTCTTGGCTTGGACTTTTTGCTTTTCTCTTCTGTTTTACTATGATTTTCTTTACATTTTCATTTCCGTTTCAATTTGCTTTGCCTTCACACACACACACACACACACACATACGCACAACCACATAGCTCGTGCACAAGCCTATTCCTAGCATTGAAGCTGACTATGAAGCTTACTATAATAGCTATATGGAGCTGCATGCCTATGCTCAAGCCACGCCATCCAACCAGCCACAACAGCAGCAGCAGCAGCAGCAACAACGCTTCATGCAGCAGCAACATCTTCATCAGCAACATCATCATCAGCAGCAGCAGCTGCCACCAACGCCGCCTCCATATCAGGCACCACCTCAGTTAGATGCCGTAAGTGCAACCTCGTCGCTAACCAAAACGGGAATCGCTGCATTGTTTATGAATAGCTCACTAATTCCTCTAATCCGGCTGCTTAGTTTAGTTTAGTTGTAATAAATCCTAACTTAGTTTATCATGAAAGCTGCCTAAAGCGAACAGCCAGAGACATTCTAGTCTGCTTCTTGCTGTTCGCTCCAGGCTGTCCAGCATTTAGCTTTGTTTTTTAATTAATTTATTGCCTCTATTGCTTTCTTTTTTCTTCATGCTCACACACATACACTCGCGCGCACAGTCGTACCGCACCTCATCGCCTGGCGCCGGCGGCGGCATCTACGCGCAGCCCAAATTGGTTAGCAACATGTCCAGCTTTCGCAGCAGCAGCCCCAGCCCGAACGGGCATGCGCACCCACTGCCGCCGACACAGCCCAAGGCGAATCCGAATCTAATTGCACAGCTCAATGCACGACTCAACAGCAAGCAGCAGCAGCAGCAGCAACAGCAGCAACAGCAGCAGCAGCAGCAACATGTTGCCGAGGGCATTTACGGCAACGCGAGCAGCGAGTCCATCTACCTGCGCAGCGGTTTGTCCATGACACAGCAGCAGCAGCAACACCACGACGGTAAATTTGAACATAAGCTGACACAGCAGCAACATAGAATATACGCTAGTTTTGGCACCTCATCTGCAACATCATCATCTATGTCAGCAACAGCGGCAGCAGCAGCTGCAACATTGTGCTCAAGCAATGGGGCAGCAGCTGTTGCAGGCGTTTTGACATCCACAACCGCATCTTCCAGTTCATTCAATGCTTTGCCACATTTTCCGCTCTCCTCATCCACATCATCGTTGCTCTCTAAAGTCAGTTCATTTTCAAATTCATCAACAACAACAACAACAATGACAGCCAACAACATTCAATCGCCGGCAAGCGGCAACAGCAAAGATTTTGTTGCCAACTATACAAATTCGTTTATAAAAAATTCAACAGCTGCGCAAACAGCAAACATGCGACAACAGCAGCAGCAACAGTTGCAGCAGCAGCAGCAGCAACAACATTATACTTGCCCACCGCCGCTTGAGGATCCGCCACCGCCGCCCATTTACTCAGCGACCATGCCCAAAAAGATGGCACGCGCACATGTTGCTCACGGCAACAGCAGCAACAGCAACAGCAGCAGCAGCAGCAATCATGTGTTGGGCGCCTATGCTGCAGCTGCAAACAGCGCTACGCTGCCCAAAAATATATTGCAACAGCAGCGTTTACAGCAGCAACAGCAGCGCTTACAGCAGCAGCAACAGTATCAACAGCCCACAGGCATTGGCGTTGGCAATGGACATGCTAGTCAGCGACCAGCAATGCCGCTGCCCCAGCAACAACAGCAACAACAACAACAGCAGCAGCAGCAGCAGCAGCGACAGCCACCAATACCGTCGCGTCATTCCAGCGTGCAGCAAAAGATATTCGTTTCGACGAATCCATTTATACAGACCACAGCTGTCAAGTTTCATACGCCATCCTCGTCCTCGGTGCACTCAACGCCCGCTGCGTCGCCCACCTGCGGCTCGCCCGCGGCAACGGCAAACTTTGCCAGCATTTATGGCACAACGGGACGTGGCGGCAGCGCACAGCAATACCAGCAACAACAGCAGCAACATCTGCAACAACAACAGCAGCAACATCTGCAACAGCAGCAACAGCATTATTATCGCGATGTTGCTGGCGGCAACAGCAATGGCGGCGGTGTTTACTATGCTGCCCACAACAATGCCCATGGCCACGCCCATGCCCATGGGCATGGGCACGCCCATTCGCACGCCCACATGCCTCATGTCCAGGCACATCATTCAAGTGAGCGCGCGTTTGATTTGATTTGATTTGATTGCAGCGCAGTTTATTTTTTGTTGTTATTTCTGCTGTTTTCTTATTCCCTTTTTTTTTTTAATAATTTTTATTTATTTTTTATGGACTTTCGAATCGTTTTCTTTGGCGAATTGCATGTTGCTTTTGTTGTGTTTGTGTTTTGTTTGAATTTGATTTGGAGTTTTGAAGTTGAATTACATTTAAATATGATGTACCAGCGCGTGTTGCCAATCAATCAGCGTGGATATGGACAGCAGAACAACAATTTTTACATATCTAACAAATATTATATATGCATATATATCACTTAACTCATCTCATTTCTTTAACATTGATCCGACTTTCACATCAACCTTATATATTCGCATCTCACTGCACTAACCTTTTGAAAAGAACATGTCAACTCTTTCTAAACGTTTGCCTATTTCATTACTTAATCACAAAATGTTGAAGATATTACAGAAACCATAAAATTTGTATATATTCTTGATCAGTAAGCACAACCGCATCGATATAGTTTGTCTGTCTGTTTCTATGTGATCTAAAACCTCATTCTAATCTTTGAAATTCTGTCAGAATTGGCAGAATCAGGCATATATATATCATATAACTTTCCTATAATTACGTTCTTGCCAGACTTTTTTGTTTATTCAGATATCTTTTACATGATCAGAGTCTTATCAAATTCAGAACAATATATCATAAAGATGCCATAGAAATGATCCCTTTTTTTTTAACACGAAATCTCAACCAAAATTGGGTTCCAATTTTATATTATACCCAGATTACCATATCTTACAGTTCTATGCTCCCAAAAAAACTCTGCACTCTTACGAGGCTTCCAATTCTGCCTGCATATTTGCAAAATTGTAGGCCTTTTTTTTGCAAGGATATTTAAATTTCGGCTTGCCGAAGTTAGCATTGTCTCGTTCGATTATACATATTTATATATTTTGTTTATAATTTGCATTGTTGTTTAATTTGTTTAAAAAGCATTTCACGCCTGTCGTTACTTTGTGCTGGCATTTTTTAACGTTTATCAAACATTTCTGCTTCTCTCTCTTCTTTTTTTTTTTGTCAACCATCAATCAACCGATCAATCGCATCAATCACTAGACTATGCCACAAGCACCAATATCGAAAAGACTGGCAGCATACGTGCCAAGACCAAGGCTGAATTTCTCGAGAATCTCAATGCAAAGCTGGCCAAACAGGGCATGTCCGGCCGTGCATTTGCCGTGCGAAATCTGATCAATAGCAAGGCTTTGGTAAGTTCGCTTTAGACACACATTTACGACACCTGCTCCATACCTCACTCTCTCTCTATATATATGTATGTATTATATATATATATGCTCATTTATTGTACTATTTGGCTGGTAGATGTACCAAAATCCACAAAATCTAGCCCGACCCAGTGCACAATATCGTAGACCACCCGACTATCCCAACACCAACACCAACCCCAACCGCACTTGTGATGAACAGTGTTAAGGTATTATTTTTTTTTGTTTTGTTTACTTGTGTTCGTTCTTGTCTAATACCCCGGCCCCGAAACGCTGAGCATTAACTACATATAGTTCTTTCTATATGTTCAGGCTTTGATTATAGATAGATCCATGAATAAATTGCATATCTATATATAGCTTTTCTCTGTATACGCAAGATAGTACCATGATTGTATTATATATATATATATATGCACTTTATAGCTAATTGTTGTTCCTTTTACGCTTGCAGCCGGATCCGCGCATTTGTCACGAGTCGCTAATGGATCAAATAAAGCGGGGGGCGACTTTGAAGCGCAATCAAAAGATCAACGATCGCAGCGCGCCCAAAATACATTAATCTATTAATGTTTTAATTCAACTAGCATGCGAATATTATTTATTTCTAAACAATATAATTATGAGGCGGCGTCGCCTGCTCGATTGCAGGCTTACGCAGAGTTTAGTTTGAAACTAAGAAACTCGAGTAAATACAATATAACTAAACACACACACACACACATACGATAAAAGATATATGATAACTGATAAATACGCGTATACAATATATATATATATATACATAAATTAACAGCTATAAACACATACATATAATTAATTCGAATGAAAGGGGTTCTTCAAAAATCTCTAGTTACAAATTTGATTGAAATTGGCATTTCTCTTAATTCCCTATAAAAATATATATACCTAAACATATATATACTACACATCTATACAGATTTATGAAAGTTATGGAAGACAATTGAAGTTGAATGTTGTATGAAAAGTTTCATGGATTATTTATAATTTAAACTCGAATTTATTGTTAGTTGAATTTAGTTTTGTCGCGCTTTTAATTATTATTATTTATAATTTCCTCTTGTTTGTGTAAATACCTATAATTTAACTAATACAACCAACTAATATGACGCCCAATAAATGAAATTGTCGTATCTATATATACTTACATATATATATTATATATTATTATATACCTTTTGTTCTTGATTTCTTATATTATCTATGCGAGTCAATTTAAAGGGTCTGAGCATATTGAAAAACAAACATTTACAACTACACATAAATCTAAATAGCTATAGATGCTATAAACTTGATCTTAAGTACACGCCTAATTAGATAACATAAAGTTTTAACTGGTGAGGATTCACTTGGGATCCTTTTACATATACGTAGTGTGCTATATATTGATATATACATATATACATATGAACGGGTTCATATCAAAGCTATAACATTTCTATTGGACTGAATCTTTTATTGTGCTACAAAACACATCTGTCATTTAAAATGCAAAACTAATCGGGTAGAGACTAGAGAGACAGCTGTTCTAAAACTTAAACTACAAATCTAGTATACAAATATCATTTGACTTCATATCAGTTACAAAACTACATAGAACATACTTTATTGACAGTTTTAAAGCCCGTTTTATAAAAAGGAGTATTTGATTTGAAATATATGCAGAACAGCATATACATTCTATATATATATATATATATGCGTAGTAATCCTAATCAGGCAACTTGTTGATAGCATTTACACATACTATACGGAAAAATGTATGATCTAATAATTGACATATACATACTTATGCTCGGAAGAAGTTCTATGGCTAGTTAACAGACTTTTTAAATATTTACAAAATATTTTGTATATACGCTTTTTAAGGCTTTTCAATTGTAATCGATAACAATACATATATATATATCTACTATTTAAATGATATTTGGCATGAACTTTTGCGAAGCGTCTATCGTAACCAAAACAAAAAAGAAAGGGCAATAACTAAGCTACAAAAACTCCACTAGTCTTTAATACATATAAACATACATATATCTACATATATTTTACATTTGGGGCATACAAACATATATATTTTTGGCGATCATCTCTACTATATAGTATATATACACACACACACACACACACACAGACACACATACATACTCAGACAAAAGAAAAAAGTTAATTAACAAAACAATTATTTACAAATCTAAATGTTAATCTTAATGTGTTTCTGTGTGTTTTAATGCTATAACAACAACAACAACAACAAAAAAAAAAGGAACAAGTTGTAATGCGTATTTTTGAATTCATTTGCATTTAGGACACGAGCAACAATAATACAATACAATAAATGTAAAAGCATGAAATGTACAAGTTCCACTCCAATTTTATTTCGAGCCGCTAAAGAACAAGTCCAACGTGTTTTGATAGTAGAGCTCTGCCAGCTGCTCCTTGGGCTGCTGTTTGATGCCCGCAATTGCCTCCAAGACTTGTCTGAAATGTTGCAAAACTTAGTTTAGTTTATTATAATACTTTCTTTAAGATAGACTAGAGCCATGCATCGAACGTAGTGCCTTTCGGATACTCGAATTATTTCGTTAGTCGTATCAACATTCATATTTTTTCAGCTCGAGCTGTTTGAGTTGCGTTTGAGCTCGAACATGTTGGCTTGAGCAGCTCGAACATGTTGACTCGAGCCACTCGAACTTCGTTTCTCTCAATGTGTTCGAGCTTGTTGCGTTATTTATTTGAACACCGTTTCGCTCGATAACAGAAAGTTCGAGTCTTTCGGTTTTCATGAATTAATCATTCAATAAATGCTCTACTCTAGACTTACCCAATCTGACACGGCTCGCTGCGTCCATCGATCAAAGTCTGCGCGGTCCACTTCTCTTTCTTCTTGACAGTGGGAAAGTTTGTGGTGACATGTTTGTGACTCGCATGCGTGGGCCGTATGCCACACCAGGGGCAATCCGTTTCAAGCATAATGCGGTCATTGGGCAGCTGTTGCACCACCTCTAGATTCTCGGCCGTCTTCAGCGAGCAGCCGTTCAATCCTATATAGAGACCACCAAAGGCCAATATGCTCTTGGCCTCGTCCAGTGTGCCGGTAAAACTGTGCACCACACCGCCACCGCAAGCCTTGAGCTGCTCTCGATTGCGCTCCAATATGTCCATGAAATCCTTGTGAGCATTTCGCATATGCAGGAAGAGCGGCAATCGAAATTCCGCCGCCAGGCTGAGCTGTTTCTCAAAGTACTGCAGCTGTGTTTCCTTCGCACAAAAGTGCAGACGATCATAGTCCAGTCCGCATTCGCCCACAGCGATTACCTTCTCCGGATTCGCTTTGATTCTGGAGCGCAACTCGCTGTAGTACTGCTCCGGATCGGGCAGGAACTCACCGCAGCGTGTGGGATGTGCGCCTACGGTTGTGTACAGGCGCTCTGCAAGGTAGATTTATAAAGATTTTGCTTTCTATTTGACTTCAGTTCAACTTGCCATCCTTGGCAGTCAGCTGCAGCGCTTCGTCCACATCCTTTACACAACCCGATGTAATAATTAGCTTCTGCAAGCCGTGCTGCCAGGCGCGTTCCAAAACTATGTCCAAGTCTGCCGGATGTTTCGTTGAGCCGCCATAACAGCCCTGAAACATGGGATCCGTCAGATTGGCGCCAATGTCTGTAAACGGTTTAGCTTAGCATATGAAATAATTTTTTTTAAATTAATGTTTACCAATGTATTTTAAGGCCATTCTCAAATATTTTGTTGCACGCATTAAAATGCGCTAAATAATCCCAAATGCCGGCGTATCAGCTGTTAGCGCTGGCGTTTCCGGTACAGCAGTGCAGCAAACGCCGCTAGATGGCGCGCTTGCGGTTATTGACGACTACACTTTGAACAAACGCCGCTAGGTGGCGCAGCTGCTGGCTTTGGCGGTTATTTGAAAGTTAAAAATAGTTTGCTTCTCTGAATTAAAGTGCGCATTTATTGAAATTATTTTTTAAGAAGTGAACTTTCGCGTGAGCTCTTGCTCACTTTGTTCCCACTCTACTCCTACCCCTCTGCCTTACTTGTTAATACCCATTTTGGGGAAATCAAATTATCAAATTCAGAGAAAATTGCATTTGAAATTGTGCATAATTTCAACTAATTGGATCGCTTGCAAAGCTGTTTATTGTGTATGCAGGCACACATGCACAGAAATATTTAGGTCTAAATACGTATTTGGTGTGTGGGTTGTAAAATGGCATCGCAGCTGGCAAATTTCGCATGCAATGTCCTGTGAATAAATCACAGCTTTTGGCGCGTTTAGCTACCCATTTGGCATTCAAAGTTCAATTGATTTAAATGCATTGGCATTTACATTTAGCATATAGCGTGCATTGTGGAATTTACTGCAAATGCAATTTATAATTTGAATAAAATTCCATTAGTTACTTTTAATGCATACTGCGGTCGCTTCACTGCCAACACACCCACAATTGTCTGAACAGAACGAATGGATCCTTTAATTGATTTAGAGCCAGCAATAGTTGTGTCCGCGGCTGACAGCTGGCAAAGGCAAATGCAACTAAACATAATATAAAGGTAATTTGTTATGTGCTGCAATCAGACGTTAATCAATATGTGGCTAATCAGACCTTGTTGCCAGCTACTATAACTAATTAATGCAATTGACATCAGAATTTAATTAAAATGTTTTACAGTGCGTCATTTTCTAATTGTGTCAAACTGAAAGCAATATACTTGTTAAGAATAGTTTCCGATATACATATCCCAAATTCCAAAAATTCCTGTTTGGTAAATAAATGAAAGTGCTGAGTTTCTGTAGTTTAATGGACACATTTAGTAAATTTATTTTATTTCTGTTGATATTTTAAAATTAAGTACAATTTCTTTGCATTTTGCATATGTGTAGATATTTTTGAGTAACTGTAACTCGGCATTGATTTTGTTGGGCTTTCTAGTTATTTTGTTTTGTTTTAATATGAACAATCGAATTACGTACACAAATTTATATTTCAAAATTTTGATTTGAATGTTTAACAAAACCTATAGCTAAGTAAACTTTGCGCAACAACAATTACTAGATATATATCTGACAGCTATATCTTGCCCGTGATATTTCCTAGCCTATTTAACTAGATGCCTTCTCTCTCTCTCTCTCTTGCACAGATTTGTTGTTGCAATTAACTACATTTAATAACAATGTATAAACAATTTAGTAGTACTTATTATGCTAAAAATTACATTTAACTGGACGTCAGCCTCAACTCCAGCCCAGCCATAACCCCGTTCGTAATCTCTATTTGACTATTGAGTAAATCATTAGCTTTAAATATTATTTTCATCACAATTCACTTTGCATCTGCCGTATTTATTGGTTGGTTCATTTACAAATCCCATTAATAGCATTTACCAAACTCTTGCAACGTTTTAACAAATAATTCGGAATCAAATATACATATATATGTATATATATAATTTGCTTTATTGATTATGACATTAGCCTAGTATATAATATAACATCTAATGCTCTAATATTTAATGCAAAAATTCATATTAGTTTTTCATCTTGATTTATTTGATTGGCTCCTAATTTTGGCAATTAGCATGCACCCTGTATTATCCTTGAATATGTTTTTTGACTGCAATTGAGAAAAATGCAAAAAGAGCAAATTATAATAATAATAAGAAGGAACACAAACTATGCGCTGCATATTTATATGTACGCCCGGCAACATTAATTAGCAGCTCACTTTGCATAATAAATTGTTGTGCAGCATTTCTCTGCCTTTGAAGAAGAAGTGTAAAAAAGAGTTAACTGGAAAATGCCATAAATTGCTCAAACATTTTCCTGGCTTTTCGCTTGTACTCAAACAAGGTCAGCTTTTGTGGGCCGCAAGCAAAATAACTTGCCGCATAACAAATACATATATATTTTTTCCCATTTCATATTATTCTTTTTTCTATTTTTTTTCATTTTCTTCAACTACATAAACTACACGGATTTGTACCTAGGACAATTAATATGTTGCATTTGCTTAAACATTTGAATACACTGTATTTAAATTGTTAATAACATTTACTTATGTGTAGCTTAAGTCTAGCCCGAACCGAAAACATGATTAACTTAGCCTAATTTGCTGTCATCAAAGGAACTACAAGATTTATTCTTCAAATTTGTCGTATAATTCATATACATAAATTCCCTCAAGAACAAATTGCTATTTAAATTTGTGAACAACGAAGAAATTGTCATGACAATAAGCTGCCCGAAATTCTAATACAACTAAACCAGGTCCCCTTAGGACTTGTTATTTAATTTAATCCCAACTAAATAGACTTGCTGACGCTTGAGTTTAGTTCATATTTAAAGCAAGGATATAAAGTTATCGGCTTATAAAAATGATTTCAAATAAAACTGGTCCCCTTAAACCATTCAAATATTGAATCACAACTAAATAGAATGCCGGACAGTTGAGCAAAGTTTGTACTTATAGCTGTAAACAACAATATAGTTATCGATAAGTTGTCGATAAATCATCGATGAGGTAGCGATAAGTCATCAATGAGTTATCGTTAGGTAATCGATAAGTTATCGATACATCATCGATGAGGTATCGATATAGGTATAGAGGTATAGAAGTCATCAATGAGTTATCGTTAAGTCATCGATGAGTTATCGATACATCATCGACGAGGTAACGATAAGAAATCGATGAGGAATCGATAAGAAATCGATAAGTAATTGAGTTTGGTTTGTAGAATATCGATAAATCATCGATGAGTTATCGATAAGTAATCAAGCTGCATATTGATAGAATATCGAGACGCTTACCCTTACATCATACATCTTAATTGCAATTGAGCAACTTTTGACAGACAGACATTCATTATTATCATAATTATTATGAATATTATTTGTATTATGATTAAATTAAAAATTAGTTTTTGGCAATTTACTGCAAATTACAGTCATCGGATGCGTTGTTGATTTGCTGCTTGGTCTTGCGTGATGCACGGCGTATGAGAGATCTATAAATAAACCGCAAACAATTGTGAGTGTGTGTGCGTGTGTACGGTGTGTGTGCGTGTGCGTCAGGTGAGTGAAAATTCGCAGTAAATTTGTTGTATACCTTATCCTAGCATGAGTGGAGCTCATAAAATTTGTGCATACAAATTTCAATTATGGGAATTTTGCATTATTACTCTGATATTCGATTTCATTGAATTTAAAACAACTTTCTACATTTTAGAAAATTATTATTTTTTTTAGACAGAAAATATTTGGCTAAATTTTAAATTAAGACAAATATTTTCTATACATTTTAGATAAATTGTCATAAAATACAAATTTGTTGAAATTTAGAAAAATATTTTCCTAAATTTTAAAACAATTGTCATAAAATGAAAATATGATGAAATTTTCTAAAAATTGGTCGAAATTTAAACAAATATTTTTCTAAATTTTAAAAAAATTATCATAAAATTGAAATTTGTCGAAATTTGGAAAAATCGTTTGCCAAATTTTAGAAAAATGCTTAACAATTTACCTAAATCTATTAAAATATTTTTACGAAATTTAAAAAAGAACATATTTTTGATAAATTTTAGTGCATTTACATTTGAGTTTAAGCTTTTCTAAATTCAAATAATAATTATTTAATTATTCTCAAATTTAAAAAAAAAAAGCATAGTACAAGGCCTACAGCTGGTTCTATGGTTTATCTCACTTGAAAATGAAAGTGCTTAAAGCTTGCTAATCAGTTAAATTAAGGGATAAAGGCAATGACTAGTCCCGAGGCATATTTGAGTTTTGATTAGAGCAAGTTGTGCTCTACTCAGCTTTGCGGCGAATGTATTTATTTGTATTAATTTATATGCGCACCTGGAACGTGGCTTCAGTTTGGCCTCGGCGCTGGTGCTGGCCACATCGACGGCATCCACGAGACTCGACTTCTTGTCGCCGCTCACCGAGGGGCTGTTCATGCGGTTTTTGTCTGCAAAAGTTGAGTTGTTCATATTTACGTATTATATACAAAAGTTGGCCAATTAAAACATTTTCAAATGTATTGATTCACGCCTGGCAGGCTGTGTGTGCCGCATATTCCGGGTATCGTAATGCAAATAAATGCGAAACCTGAAAATCCAATTTCCAGTTAACGATTACAATGCGCGAATGCGAATGCGACTGCCACAGCAGGTGCCACAGCGACTGCACAACCTGCCCAATTATTACGCAGCTGCAAGTTGCAACAATGCCGCAAAAGTGCCAGTTGCAAAGTGCCCAAAACGAAATGCTTTCGCAGAGGCCAGCAACCACTTGCAGCCTTGTTGCATGCAACAGAATTAACTTATGCGAGCTGCTTCATTTCTGAAACTAGATTCGTAGCAGGTCACAATTCCCAGAACTGGCTTAAAGGCGCCTCAGTTAATTATTTTTCGCGTAACACACGTTTACCAAAGGGTATCCTTCAGCTGAAGGATGCAGCTATGGCAATCGTAGGAAGAAGCATCAAATAATTAACTGCAGATTCAATAGCCTGGCTGAGCTTTATGGTTGCCCAGATTTGCACAAAAAGAAAGAGCTGCTTTTGAATAAGCTTCTGTACAGTGGGGCTTGGAATTGATAGTAAACTTCATTTCGGACCGATTGTTCCAATAGCAGCTTACATATCTTTATAAGAGTAGTTAGAATCGCAAAGCAGGTTGAGTTTGCTTGAGAAAGAGCTGCTAGGAGAAAGTCTTGTAGACATGTGTATTGATTGTAAGTTTTCTTTTCAAGTTTTCCTATAGAAGATATATAACATGAATAGTTCCAATCGTAAAGCTCGTAATTGCTGAGTTTGCTTGGGAACAAGTTTTCCAACAATTGTTCATGTGAAAGCTATATAATCCGTGTTACCCGAGATCTGCAGCCCGGCTTAATACCCTAATTTGCAAAGTAGTTCCAATAGTAGAGCGCACAATTGCTGCGTTTCCATGAATAGATCTTGAGAAATGGATCCACTTTTCGTACCAAGACTTAGTTCTAGTCCAATCTTGCCCATAGAGCTAGATGGTAGCTTGTAAATGCTAGGTTTCTTTAAAATGTCTAGAAAAGTAAAGAACTGATCGTTCCTAAGGCGATTACATGATATATTGGTGCATTTAAGCAAATACATACCCTGTCCATAATCTCAGGACGGATCTGACCACAAAGCCACATAGTTTGTCTTTGTCGATCTACTTTGTGTCTGTTTATAATAATATTTAGACAAACTTTAGCTAGAGCTTACAAATGCTTCGTCTGAGAAATAACTTGTGAGCAATTTCCCATAAACTTTTATGCTCTACTTGAACAAAAGGTCGCCAAGCTGCAAGCTGACAATGTCCAAGTCGAATATCTATTGTGCTCGCATATATAAACCATTTCTCTGTCTAGTTTAACGAGCGTAACAACCTTTCAAGTTGCCATTGCTGTGAGCGTCATTTTCTTGGAAAAACGGATGAAAACCCAGCGAGAGAGAGCGAGAGCTGCCCTGATTAGATTAGATTAGATTAGATTACGTTGCGCATATTGATGGCTTACTGATTTGATGGATTTAAAGCGATTCGGGAACCGAACAAAACCTGAAATCTAGCATAATGATGATTTATGCAACAGCCACAAGCCAAACCTAATTGATATAGAAAATGTGAAATTAAACAGCAGCAGCAACTTGCGCTTAAAGCGTTTTTATGGAAATCTCCCAAAGACGCAACTTTTTCTCAAACTGTCTCGAAGGGTTTTTCCGCAGCTATTGGCCAAAACGCAAGGGAATCGTGTAAAATATATATATATATATATATATAAACTGTGCTACGCTAAGGCACTTCATCTAATATGCATGAGTGTGCCTGTGTGTGTGTGTGTGTGCGTGTGCGTGTGTGTATGTGTGTGCGTGGTGTCAACTGCAAACAAAATGGCCGCCGACGCCATTGTTGCCGCTGTCGCTGACACAAAGCGCGCGAAAAATGCCTCAAAAATGCTAGAATCATGAGAAATCGAGTCTGTGTAACCAACACACACACACACACACACACACACACACTTAGACAAAAGCTGTGTGTTGCTTTTCTGGCTTATTACACTGCACACACACATGTAAGCCCCATTCGCACAATTTGCTGGCATAGAGCATACACGATTGTTGAAATAAATGCCGAGCAGTACGCAGTACCAGGTCTCTAACTGGAGTCCCAAGTCCCCCCGTTCCCCTCGCTATAATTGTGCATATGCGGATGTATTTGTGGCGCGAGGCAAACGGAAATTTAAATTACATTTTTATTTTCATAAAGTTATGTTATGTGAGGGTTGCAAAATTTACTCATGAGGTTTGTTGTCAATGACAAATCCAGAAATGTGATTGACTGTTTGACTGACTGATTGGTTGATGGATTACTTGATGATCAAAGCACAGCATGCTGGCATGCTGGAATGTGTTACAATTGACAAATTCCGAAGTCTGACTGACTGATTGATTGACTGACTGGTTGACAGACTGATTGATTGATGATCAACCCACAGGCTCAATCGTAGAAACGAGTATACTGTACTTGGTTATAAATGAAAATAATCTAAAATCGGACTAATTGATTGACTGACTGATTGATTGACTGACTGATTGATTGACTGACTGATTACTTGACTTATTGGCTGATTAGGTGACGGATTGACAATCAACGCCCAGACATAACCATAGGGGCTGAAATGTTGGAATGTGTAGCAAATGAAACATCGTAAATTATGACTGATTGATTGACTGACTGATTGAAGGACTGATTGATGATCAACACACATGCCCAACTGTAAGAGCTAGAAAGCCCAAAAAATTGGTAAAATTTCTACATCTTAGCTGAAAAGTTTTGTGGAAATATGCATTAGCCTAGAAGGGTATCATATGTGCGGCTTGTCGCTGACAATTTTTCCTTTATGTTTGCGTCTTATTTATTTTCCGGTTTCCGTTCGGCATGCAAATGGCTGAACGCTTTAGTAGCGCACGCTGGCTGTTAAGATTTTTGTTAAATAACATTTGGCCTAGCCGAGATGCAAATACAGGCGGCAACTGGGGCATGCGGCATGTAGCATGTGGCATGTGGCATGTGGCATGCTGCTAAAGTTTCAATTGAGTTACGGTTACAGTTGACTGCCTGCAAATAAAACTGCTTGCGGTTGCGACGGCTCCCAACCGCACAGCTCAAGCCACATAACGTTGCCCGGAGTTTGGGGCGGCGACCTAGACGTAGACGTGGGCGCGCCTTTCGCTGGGCTGGGTCCGTAATAGACATGTGCGACAGTCCGCTGGCAAAAGCTGCCTGAGCTCAGCCTACGCACCCAGACAATTTTTATGCGACAGCACCCACATACACACACCTACACACACACACACAAACACGCACAGGCACACAACTAACACACCTCAAATCAGAATGCGTGCGATTTGTTTTTGCATATGTCACATTGTGTGACTGTTTTTTAAGGCAATTACATGTTCTATCCTGTTTATAAGCTAACAGAGGGTATATTGGTTCTATGTCATATATTACTCAAGTCCAACATTGATATATATTTCCCATGTTGTAGTATTAAGAATCTCTCCTAAAAACTTAGGCGACAATATGCTCTTCCATCCCACAAATGTATATTTACGACATTCAAAGTTTTAAGGTCACTGAGTTAAAGTTTTAGAGGTGTTTCTATTTACAAAGATTGAAGTTTGAAAGTCAGAGTGAGATTGAATTATACGCAAACGTGAAAGTTTGAAAGTCACTTGGTAAAAGTTTTAGAGTCTTTTTCAGTTATTGAGCTTAAAAGTATCTGCCTTGGGGATTGAACGTTTGAAAGTCATTGGGTTACAGTTTGAGAGTCGCTTCTCTTAACCAAGGTGGAATTTCGAAAGTCTTTTGGCGATTAGCTAGATTGTTGTTAGATTCGATTATATATACTAAGCTGACAGTTTGAAGGTGATTGGTATATAGTTTTAAAGTCGTTTACAGTAACTGAGATGACAGTTTAAAAGTCAATGCCCTTTTTTGGATTTAAATATATTTACTAAATTGACAGTTTGGCAGTCACGACATATAACAGTTTTAGAGTCACCCAATCCAGAATCAAGACAGCAATATTTGCACTGTTTCGCAGCTGTTATTTAACAGGGTATGGCACAGTCGGCGACACTCGAGAGCAACTTTTGTTGCTTTTTACGTGCTGTCATGGCCTCAATTCGCGTGATTAACTGCTCAGACTTATTTTTAGTGGCGCAGGACTGGGATTTAATATGCCCCCCACCCAATAGCTGGGTGTCTAGGCTAGGAGTGTGTGTGTTTGTGTGTGTGTGTAGGGGGTGTGTGTGGGCGGGGGTTGGATTGGTGTGACTTGTGTACATGCTTAGTGCCATCGATGCTGACGTTTCTTTGTCAATTGAGCTGTCACAAGTATTTGCTGCTATTTGACATTTAACCTTCAGCATTCACACACACACACACACACACGCACACACACACAGCGTGTTTGTTGTGCTGTCAGCGACAGTTGTCTTTGTCTGCTTGGACAATGCTCGTCCCTATTTGACCGCAAATAATTTACAAATTTGCGGCTCACATGTAATATGTTTGCGAAATACAAATACAAATTGTATAGTCGCCTCTTAGACACGCACACACACACACACGCACACTGGAGAGCCTCATTAAAGCTTTAAATTGCATTTAATTTCGAGTCTGTTTGCTGGCGGCCAACTTTGCACTTCATTTAAATGACTTTTGCGAAACTAACCAAAAATAAAGAAAAAATGTTATCAAATGCCGCCAGCAAACAATTAAATTATTGCCCAGCAGCAGCTGAGTGTGGGCCAAGTGGGCGGAATGGGCGGATTGGCCAAGGGCCACGCAAATTATATTAATTATATTTTGAGCGTGGCTCACTTTGGTAACATTCATTAACTGTGTATTTATATTGTGAAAAGGCGCGGCGCGCAAA